CTAAAGTTCCAACAGGTGATGCTTTGACAAGGGGATTTCCACTTGCAAAAGAACGAGCGTGGACCCTGCCTCCTTGGAATGCAAAGTTGACTCAAAACAGCCCAACAACCTAAATATAAGAACTAAAGTCATAGAGGGAAGGGAAAAAAAAAGGGAGAAAGAACTAAAATCATAAAACTCTTGGAAGAAAATGGGTAAATTTCATAATCTGGGGTTTGGCACTGGGTTCTTAGATACAACATCAAAACCATGAGACACAGCCGGCTGGTGTAGCTCAGTGGATTGAGCGTGGGCCTGTGAACCAGAGGATCACGGTTCGATTCCCAGTCAGGGCACATGCCTGGGTTGCGGGCCAGTTCCCAGCAGGGGATGCACGAGAGGCAACCACACATTGATATTTCTCTCCCTCTCTCCTTCCCTTCCCCTCTAAAGATAAATAAATAAAACCTTAGGGGGAAAAAAAAACCTATGAGAAACAGGAACAACAGAAAGAGGTCGGTAAACTGAACGTCATCAGAATTTTAAAGTTTGGAGCATTAAAGGACATCAAGAAAGTAAAAACATACCCTAAGATTGGGAGAAAATCTGCAAGTTGTGTGTCTGGTGAGGGTCTGGTACCCAGAATCTATAAAGAACTCTTAATGATTCAACAGCAAAAGACAAACAGCCCAATTTAAAAGTGAGCAAAGGACCTGAGTAAACATTTCTCCAAAGAAAGTACACAGATGGCAACAAACGAGTGGAAAGATGCCTCAGTTCGGCAGCCACTTGAGAAATGCAAATCCAGACTGCAGTGAGGTGACCACTTCACACCCACTGGGATGACAGGTGTTTCCAGTGTGTGGAGAAACTGGAGCCCTGGCACACTGCTGGTAGGAATCTAAAATGGTGCAGCCACTGTGGAATCATCTGGCAGTTTCTCAAAAGATTAAACAGAGCATCACCCTGTGACCCAGGAATTCCACAGCTAGACACAGACCCAAAGAGCTGGAGACGGGCTTTGGCATGAGCACGTGGGCATGTTCGTAGCAGCACTGCGCACACGAGCCCAGCGGGGCAAGCAGCCCAGATGCCGTGCTGTGGGGTGTAGTAGCCCCCCTTACCCATGGAGGGTATGATCCAAGACCCCCCAGTGGATACCTGAAGCTGTAGTACTGACTCTATATACCAAGGGGGATCCAAAAGCCCGGAATTTATTTATAAAAACTTGTGTATTTATTTGTGCATGTGTAAATTTCCGTCACATTCACAGCCCTCTCTATGTGATGCAATACCCCCATTGAGACATTCTTTCCACTATTCACAACAGTTTTTGAACTCATCGATTTTGAGGCCTTTTAGTGCTTCTACGGTTTTTTTGTTTTATCTCTTCCAATCCAACAAAACCATTTCACTTTGAGGTCTTTTGTCTTCCAGGGAAACAAACAAACAAAACATTCGGGGTGAGGTTGGGCGAATAGAGAGGGTGGAGCATGGGGGTCATGCCATTTTTGGTCAAAAACTGCTGAACACTCAGAATGGCGTGGAGAGGTGCACTCCTCAATGACCCATTATGAAATGGGCCAACGTGTTGGGGAAAAACATCATTGAAGCCAAATGCAGCCTCTCACAACGCCAGCTAGTGCCCTGATGCAGATGGGTTCCTAGAACACTCACCTAGTAGGGGAAGTCTGTCCTACAGGGGGCCTGCCCTCCAGAAGGTAATTCTGGGATTTTGGGGCTCCCCCTTGTATACTACTTGTTTTCTATATATACAGTTTCCTTTTTTTTTTTTTTTTTTTTTAAGACCGTAAGGCTTCTCCTCAGCACACTTTAGTGTCAGCATCACTGCTTTTTGTGCTTTGGGGCCGTCACTAAGTAAAATAAAGGTGATCTGAACACAGGCACTGCAACAACAGATCTGGTCACTGAGACAGTCCCTGCGTAGCCTACAGGTGGGTGGAGCGTGCACTCAGGTGTGCTGGACGAAGGGATGACCCACCGCCCTTGGTGGGATAGGGCAGGATTTCATCACGCTACTTAGTGTGCAGTTTAAAACGACTTGTTTACTTTTGGAATCTGCATTTAATATTTCCAGACTGCGGTCACAGGTAAGTGAAACTGCATGAAGTGAAACAGTGGGTAAGAGAGGACCACTGAGGTGTTCAGCCATGAAGAGGGACGAAGCACCAATACCTGTGACAGTGTGGGCGGACCTGCAAAACATGCAGCGAAGGGAAGAGTCCAGCCACGAAAAGTCACATACATGGTGCCACTCATCTGAGACATCAGAAATACATAAATTCTTAGTGACAAAATGCAGATCAGTGGTTGCCAGGACCTGGCCCGGAGATGCGGGTGTATATGGAGACAGTAAACTAAAAAAGTAAGGGTTTCGCTCTGGAGTGGTGCACACAAGTGGGGAGTGCACACTGCTGCAAATGGATCAAACGAATTACTCGTTTAACACAGGCACTTATGTTTGTGAATTTTGCCTCCATAAATTAGGAAGATGCGCACAAAAGCCACTGCGGGAGATGGGAGAGGGGTGGGGTCTCACCTTCCATGTATGGGACCGTCAGGTGGTGGGTGAGGCACTGGCAGGTCACGGCTATGCCACCACCAGCAGCTGGCACAGCGCAGGCTTGTGTGGCGCCCACAAGGCTGTGACCCAGATGTGCACTTAGCTCTTACGGCTGTTATTCACAGACCCTGAAGCAACAACCATAAAGAACTTCAGTGGTTTGGCGGGGGTGCTCCTGGGCTTGTTGACTTCTGGGAGGACTCAGCCCTCACCCTCTCTTCCAGATGCGGCAGCCTGCAGACAGCACAGTGCTGTGAGCTACTGCGTTTGCTTTCAGGGCCGCCTTCTGCTTTGAAACTAAATTTTGGTGGTTTGTTTTTGTTTGTTTTTTTACAAAAAGATTTTCTTAAGGGGAACCATGTTCCTAATTTCATAGTTCCTTTAAAAATAATGCCCAGGCCAGTGCGGCTCAGCAAGTTGGGTATCATCCCGTAAACCAAAAGGTCACCGGTTCGATTCCTGGTCGGGACACTCGTGGGTTGTGGGCCAGGTCCCCAGTCAGGGCGTGTATGGAGGGCAGCCAATCAATGTTTCTCTTGCTTTTTCCCTCCCTTCCCCTCTCTCTAAAGTTTAAAAAAAATCAAAAGTTAAACTTTAATTGGCTTTTCCAACAGTTCTTATGTTACAGAATCAAATTTAACAAATCCAAAGGGACCTCTCACAACGCTCACCCACAGGACTCGCTTCTGTTTTCTGTAGCAAAGACCCAGGTCAGAGCCCGGTTCCCACCACCACCACCTCTTGAGCCACACCGGGACCTTGTCTCCATCAGGTCAACGCACTGTGGCCCGCAGGCCAGGCCCAGCCAGTCAGTGGTTTCTTACGCCCAGCAAGCAAGGAGCACTTTCGAAGTTTTTAGCACTTACAACAAAGCAGACCACACAATAGGGGCCATACAGCCATGAAGCCTAACACGGGTTCTCCCTGACCCTTTACAGAAAAGCTCTGCCCACCCCTGGGCCAGTTACTGGGGGGAGTGGGGGTACCATGGGCCCTGGGCCATTCGGGCAGTTTCATCTGGCCGTATCCTCCTCCTGTCACTCCTGCGACCAGGCAGCACGTGGACATTCCCTAGACGCCCTGGGGCCAGGGTTCCCAACCTGCACAGTGTGTCTGGACCACAAGTCAGGTGACGGGTGTGAACTTGCCACCAGACCCATGGCTGAGGTGGGACCCAAGCTGAGCCTCTGGCCCAGCCAGGTCTGTGTCAAGAACAGAAGCAAGCACACGAGGCAGGGAGACAGTGCTGCTGTGACGGGTTCTCGAAGTTTAGGTGGTGGCCAGAGCTGAGGGGCAGGTTGGAGGCCGACGGGCCAAGGAGGCTGGGAGGTAGAGGAGATGACCCTTTACCCGTCCGCTCAGCACCACTGACTGTGGCCAGACAAGGGGCTGCCCAGTCCCAGGACACGGCCCGGGCTGCACAAGACCCTCTGGCTCCAGTGGGGGTGTCCCACACAGGGCACAGCCAAAGGGCGACCTGTCTGCCCTGCTCAGGAAGTGTCAGGAGCAGTGTCCGGGGTGAGCTTGGGGTTGGGGGGACTGGAAGGATGAACTGCTGGGATGTCAACAGGCCACCCATGAGAAGGAGGGGAAGGTGGGAGGGGAGGCAGGAGCAGACGATGGCAGTATGGCTGGCTGTCACAGTGTGAATGAGAGACACTGAGGAGAATGAGGGTTTCCTTGTTCTTACAGGCATGAAGGGACAGGGGAAGGTGCCAAAGCCATTCTGGTATGACAGGGAACTCTCAGAAAGATGGGCGCAGCTGCCTAAACATTGCACCAGGGCAAGAATTGTTCATCTGATGCTAGATGTGCAGGTTTTAGAACGTAAAGGTGGCTTCAGCAGGTCTCTGAAGGCTTGTGTTGAAGAGGACAGAACCTGACACTGCTCCGACGTCCCCACCACCCAGCTGGAGCCCGCTTTGCTTCTCTGGGCCCACCTCCCCCGTCGGTCACTCCCAATAGTGAGGCCCAAGAGCCCTTAGCACTGAACAAACACAGATGGCCCAGGAAGCTGACAGCTTGCACCAGGGGAAAGCCAGGCGAGATGCTGACCCACGTCACACGGGGTGTGTCGCATCTCCTTGTAGGCGGTGGGGTGGCACCTGGGTTTGGGATGTATGCCAAGGTACAGTCAACAGTACTTGCCAGTGAACTGCTGTGCATGAGAGGAAGGGCAGTCGGGATGCCTGGGACTTTGGTCTGCACCAGCGGGTAGACCCCAGACGACTTCCCGAGGTGTAGGTGCTAAGGCAGAGGGCTAAGGGTTGGCCAGTCTTCAGTTGCCATGCTGCCTTGTCCCCTCGGAGCTTCCCTGCCCCTCCCCAGCCCCCTCAAGAGATCGGGACTTGTACCCCCAGTGGGTCCCATGCTCCCAGACTTGCTGTCTTCATTTCCCTGTTTCCTTCCAAGTGGGACTTTCTGTTTGTCATTTCAGATAGCAACACGAGGACTGAGGGCAAGGAGTTTTTTCAGAAGGAAGATGTTTGTGGGGGTTTAGAATCACAGGCAGAAGTATCAGAAAACTGTACTGGTGGTGTTTCCCTGGCCCCTGAGCTAGGAGAGCTCTGTGATGACGTGTTAGAAAAAAACTGGGATGTTCCTGACAACACGGGACAGGGGCAGTTCCTCTGCCCAGAGGAAGACTTCCCCCGGGTGGCAGCGCTCCTTGACAGCCCCTTAGGAGAGAGAGACCTGGACTGTGATGATTTTGAGAAAAGCTCCAGTCAGAGCCCAGACCCAGCAGTATGTCCAGGAACTTCTGTGGAAGAGAGTCCACATCCTTACACATGTGGCCAAAGCTTCCAAAACAGCACAGATCGAATCAGCCGCACAGCTGAAGGGGTCCCCACAGCTGAAAGCACCTTCATATGTACTGAGTGTGGAAAAATCTTCAGTCAGAATTCAGTTCTCAAAAATCATCAGTGGTCTCCTGTGCATGAGCCCTACTGGTGCAGCGAGTGTGGCAAAGCCTCCCACGTGCACTCAAACCTGCTCGGGCCTCAGGTCGCCCACGGTGGAGAGAAGCCTTATGTTTGCAGTGACTGTGGAAAAGCCTTCAGCCAGAACTCCAGCCTCAAGAAGCACCAAAAGTCTCACATGAGCACGAAGCCCTATGAGTGCAGTGAGTGTGGGAAGGCCTTTAGGCGGAGCTCCAACCTCGTCCAGCATCAGAGAATTCACTCTGGGGAGAAGCCATACGTGTGCAGGGACTGTGGGAAGGCCTTTAGGCGGAGCTCCAACCTCGTCAAACACTGCAGGGTCCACACAGGCGAGAAGCCTTTTGAGTGTCACGAGTGCGGGAAGGCATTCAGCCAGAGCTCACACTTGAGGAAGCACCAGCGAGTTCACACTGGAGAGAGGCCTTATGAGTGTAGTGAGTGTGGCAAACCCTTCAGCCGGGTCTCCAACCTCATTAAGCATCACCGCGTTCACACGGGAGAGAAGCCCTATAAATGCAGTGACTGTGGGAAGGCCTTCAGTCAGAGTTCAAGCCTTGTTCAGCATCGGAGGATTCACACTGGAGAGAAGCCTCATGTGTGTGACGTGTGCGGAAAAGCCTTCAGTTACAGCTCCGTGCTCAGAAAGCACCAGATAATCCACACGGGAGAGAAGCCCTATGAGTGTGGCGTCTGCGGGAAGGCCTTCAGCCACAGCTCAGCCCTCATTCAGCACCAGGGCGTGCACACAGGCGACAAGCCCTACGAGTGTCGGGAATGTGGGAAGACGTTTGGCCGCAGCTCCAACCTCATCCTGCACCAGCGAGTTCACACTGGAGAGAAGCCCTATGAATGCACCGAATGTGGGAAAACCTTCAGCCAAAGTTCAACTCTCATTCAGCATCAGAGAATCCATAATGGCTTGAAACCCCACGAGTGTAACCAGTGTGGTAAAGCCTTCAACCGAAGCTCAAACCTCATCCACCACCAGAAAGTTCACACAGGAGAGAAGCCATACACGTGCATTGAGTGCGGTAAGGGCTTCAGCCAGAGCTCGCACCTCATTCAACATCAGATCATCCACACTGGTGAAAGGCCCTACAAGTGCACCGAGTGTGGGAAGTCCTTCAGTCAGCGCTCAGTCCTTATCCAGCACCAGAGGGTCCACACTGGGGTGAAGCCCTATGACTGTGCTGCATGTGGGAAGGCGTTCAGCCAGCGCTCGAAGCTGCTCAAGCACCAGCGGACCCACACCAGGGAGTGAGCACGGGCGAGGCAGTGCTCTGACCCCTGCCCTCCTCCCACAACCTGCTGTGCACACAGCCCCTCCCTCCTGCCCTTGCACCCACCTCACATGACCTCGTTTCTTTCTGGTTTTTACATTTCGTTGTGAGACTGCCATGTTTGTAAGGCGGGAAGACAGGAACTGCATATTTATGAATGGAGTTTATTACTGTAATCAAACATAAACAAAAGTAAACTGACGTTTCTTCCAGACAACAGTAATTCTATTTGGTGACTCATGTTCTGTGTACATGAAATCAGGCTGAGAATTCGGGTCCGACTGCCGTCACCCTCCCCCCATGTGGCACACACTCACCAGCACTGACCCCTTGCCTTCGTGCCCTGCTGTAGTCTGACGCCATCCTTCCTTCTCACAGCCCCGCTGTGACTCAGGTCCCCACTCAGGGTGCTGCGCAATGGCAGGTCGCTGTTTCCCAGCCTCCATTTCTCTGCCTTACAGTCCTGGCTGTTGGCCCCACAGAGGACAGCTCTCTCTTTGGGAGAGAGAGGACAGCTCCCCTCACCCCTGGTTCTCCCTACAAGCTTCCAGGTGTGTGTGTGGGGGGGGGGGGTTCCAGGTTCATTTTTGCCAAACATTTGTGGAATACCTGCTAGGTGTCCCCAGAAGGTGGGAACTGGCCTGTCTCAGTTCCCCAGAGCTGTGCCCAGGATCCCTGACAGGGTCACCTCAGTCAACCAGCACCACATCTGCCACCAGGAGGCCCCAGTCACCAGCCAGCTGGTCTCACCTGGTGTGTCAGGGGTGGGTGGATAGGCCCCTCCTGCACTGTCCAGGAAGAAAAGGACAGGTGTAGTCAGATGTGTAGTTACGGTGGAAAGGTCAGGGTTTGCCTTCTGTTTTCACTGACAGGCCGCAGGAAGTTGGAAGAGCAAAGAAACAGGAAGAGTTGGCTGGCAGAGGTCTGTCCCAGGGGTTGGGGCCAGAGCGGGCTGCCTGCCCTCTTCGAGCCACAGTCTGGCTTCCTCACCATCCCCACCATCCCCAACCTCTGTTCCTGAGGGAGCACCTACACAAGAAAACACACCACACCTGCAGTCTGGGTGACAGCCTGCCCTGTAAACTGCTCGCTCACTCCAGTCTGCCAACCCTCATGCTCCCTCTTTGCTTTCATGATTCTCCTGTGCAGCCTGGATTCGATCACTGCTTCTGTCTGCAAACCCTTGTTGGCCCTGACTGGGGACAGAGCAGGACACAAGGCAGAAACGCCTGTGTGTGGGGAGAGGACACAGTGGTTCTGGTGGCTAGGAAATGTGAAGCAGGGAATGGGGTCCGGGTATTTTGAGGGGTCCAGTTTTAGGTGGGGGCAGTGAAGAGTAGGCTGTACTGAGTTGTCCTTTGGGCAAGGACTTCAAGCAAGTGAGAGAATGATAGCGAAGATGGGGTGGGTGACAGGCCCTGAGTGGGAGTGCGCCTAGACCTTTCCAGGGTCATCAGAGAGCCAGGGCAGTGTGGCTGGAGTGCAGTGAGCAAAGGGGGAGCAGATAAGGTAAGTAAGTACTGGGGAGCCACCATGAACGGCGTGTGGACACAAAAGTTTGATCTGGCATTTTAACAAGATCACGTGCTGTTTGGGGAAGAGACTGTGGGGCAAGCATGTGCACCTCTGTCACTCCCTTCTCAACTCCCACTGGCCTCTGGTGGCCCCAGCCTCCACACTGCTGGGAGGTCCCTGGGGCCGAGGCACAGGTGCTGGGCACAGCAGCTGCAGGTGCGGGTCAAAGCAAGTGGCCCACAGAAAGGTGTGAGCGTCGGGCTTCTCTGGTCCCGGGGCCCTACCAGGCATCTGGGCAGAGCTGACTTGCATCACACAGTCTGCAGCCTGAGGGAATTTAACTTCAAGACATTTTGCTTCCAAAGGAAAATGGTCTAGAAGAGCAAATTTCTGTCAACCACAACCTGTTTTCTACTGCTTTCATGATGTCCTTGGAAATGTGTTTTGTAGGAACAACGGATCCCGTATGAGAAAAGGTCTGAGGCCCTGGCTGGTGTAGCTCAGTGGATCGAGCGTGGGCCTGTGAACCAGAGGATGACGGTTCAATTCCCAGTCAGGGCACATGCCTGGGTTGCAGGCCAGTTCCCAGCAGGGGACGCATGAGAGGCAAACATACACTGATATTTCTCTCCCTCTCTCCTTCCCTTCCTTTCCCTTCTAAAGATAAATAAAATCTTTTAAAAAAAGACTTCCACCAAGATGGAGACATAGGTGGAGACACCGTGCTTTCTCACACAACCAAGTTTAGAGACAATAAAAAATTAGCAACAGAAAATACAGCCAGAACACAGAAAATTGAACTTTTCGGAAGTCTGATAACAATGAATGCATCAGCCTGACCGGTAAGAGGGGCGAAACCAGCAGCTGGCGGAGCGGGCTTGCACAGGAAAACTCGGTCAGATGGACTCAGGCACGCGAATCCCAGGCGTGGGGTTGCAAAGGGCCGACCCAGTGAGCGACCAGCAGATCCCTCGAGGGTGAAGGGCAGCAGGTTGACTGTGCTGGTGCATTCCTGCTCAGGTAGACCACGAGGGAGTGGGCAGTGAGATGGGACCTAGCGGATCCCAGCCACGGGAGGCAGCAGAGAGAGCCGCCATTTCCCGGCTCTGACCCCGCCCCCACATACAGCGTCACAACCCAGTGACCTGAGCAACCCTACCCTGGGGAACATCTAAGGCTTTGCTCCTCACCCAGTGGCGGGAAGCTGGTGAGGGGGACGCCATTTCCACACTCTGACCCCGGCCACCACATATAGCCTCACAAACCAGCGACCCGCCCAGGAGGCCCCGCCCCACCCCTAAGGCTCAGCTCCTCATGGTTAATGGGCGTGAACAGACCAAAAATGGCTCAAGAAGATCTCAAAGCCCCAGAGCCCATAAATCTAAGTGACGAAGAAATAGCAAAACTTTCAGATGCACAGTTCAAAACACTGGTGGTCAGGATGTTCACAGAACTGGTTGATTTTAGCCACAAATCAGAGGAACATATGAAGGCTAAACTAATTGAAATGAATGGCAATGCACAGGAAACCAATAGTAATGGGAAGGAAACTGGGACTCAAATCAATGGAGTGGACCAGAAGGAGGACAAAAATGACCAACCAGAAAAGAATGAAGAAACAAGAATTCAAAAAAATGAGGAGAGACTTAGGAACCTCCAGGACATCTTTAAACGCTCCAACATCCAAATTATAGGGGTACCAGAAGGGGGAAAGGCACAGCCACCAGTGGAAAACTTATTTGAACAAATAATAAAGGAGAATTTCCCCAATCTGGCAAAGGAGATAGACTTCCAGGAAATCCAGGAAGCTCAGAGAGTCCCAAAGAAGCTGGACCCAAGAAGGAACACACCAAGGCACATCATAATTACATTAGCCAAGATTAAAATGAAAGAAAGAATCCTAGAAGCAGCAAGAGCTAAGGGGACAGTCATCTATAAAGGAGTCCCCATCAGACTGTCAGCGGATTTCTCAAAAGAGACCTTACCAGCAAGAAGGGTCTGGAAAGAGGTATTCCAAGTCATGAAATCCAAAGACCTACAACCAGGATTACTCTATCCAGCAAAGCTTTCATTTAGAATGGAAGGGCAGATATAGTGCTTCTCAGATAAGATCAAATTCAAGGAGTTCATCATCACCAAGCCCTTATTATATGAAATGTTAAAGGGACTTATCTAAGAAAAAGAAGATAAAAAAGATGAACAGTGAAAGGACAGCAAACTCACAGTTATTAACAACTACACCTAAAACAAAAAAGCAAACTAAGAGGACAGCTAGATCAGGAGCAGAACCATAGAAATGAAATTCACATGGAGGGTTAGCAACAGGGGAGTGGGAGAAGGAGAAGCGGGGAGAAGGTACAGAAAATAAGTAGCATAGACAGTAGGTAGAAAATAGATGGGGGGAGGGCAAGAATAGTATGGGAAATATAGAATCCAAAGAACCTGAGACCCATGGTCATAAACTAAAGGGGGGAATGGTAGGGGTGAGGGGGTGCAGGGTGGAGGGGAATGAAGGGGGAATAGAACAACTGTAATGGCATAATCAATAAAATAAAAATTAAAAAGAAAAATATAAAAAAATTTTTTAATCTTAAAAAAAAGAAAAAGCCTGAGACATCCCTGCCCCTGACGCAAGGCCTGCAGATGCTGGCTGGAGCCCGTCTGCACAGCAGGTGCCACTCCAAGGCAGTAGGGAGGCCCTTTATTTCTTTTTTAATTTTGGTAGATTACTTATTTTTATCAAAAGAGCCTTAATTATTTAAATCACTAGTCTATATGGCAGAGACATTGGGGAGATGAGAAAGAGGAAAGTGGAGAAAAAGAGGGAGGAAAACGACCGCCTTGCCCAGTGGGGGACGGGGATCCGCACACGGGTGCCCAGATCTCTTAGAATGAACGGTCTTCCCTCCCTGTGGTGCTCAGGCCCCTGCCTGGGCCCTAATCCAGTCGCAGGACCTTATCCTTGAAAAGGGCCAAGATAAATTCCTGTGTTGTGACTTCTCTAAAAATTCCCTACAACTTCTCTTTTTATTTATTTTTAGATAGAGAGGAAGGGAAGGAGAGAGGGAGAGAAACATCAGTGTGTGGTTGCCTTCACGGGCCCCATACTGGGGGCCTGGCCTGTGACCCTGGCATGTGCCCTGACTGGGAATCGAGTGACCCTTTGGTTCGAAGGGTGGCGTGCTCTCTCTTTTTTTAAATAAAGATTTTATATATTTATGTTTAGAGAGGGGAAAGGAGGGAGAAAACCATCAACCTGTGGTTGCCTCTCACATGTCCCCTACTGGGGGACAACCCCAGGCCCACAACCCAGGCATGTGCCCTGACAGGGAATCGAACCGGCAATCCTTTGGCTCAGGCTGGCACTCAATCCACTGAGTCACACCAGCCAAGACCCCTCCAATTTCTTGTTCTAACACCTGGTTGCCTACTGACTACGTAGTCCCCCTGAAGCCTCCCTTCCCCCGTACCACTGGGAGTGAGGGTGTTCCCCTTGCTCCTTGTTCCCACTTCTAGACAGGTTTCCTATCTCCAACCAACAAACCCAATTCCTTTGAGGACAACTACAAAGCAGCCCTAACAGCTAGCAGCTGGCCTGGTACCAACTGTGCCAGGATCTTCATGTTCTGGGTAGAGTCTTGGGGTCAGAATGATGTGGGGAAATAGTCTTCCCAAAAACCTACTGGCTCCCTTTACAAGGGCAAAGCAGGGAAACCCTGGAGTGCAGTGTGTGGAGAGTAGGGCTGGATCTATAGCAATCTTTAAGTCTTTATGGATCTGGAGGGAACCCCTAGTGCCAGGGCCCAGCCTCGGCAGGGTTCGGGGTCCCCAAAGGATGGACGGCACAGGCGAATGAAGAGTCAGACACCTGACTGGGTGCCGGAGAACAGCCAGCCTCTGTGGGACTGACTGAACTCATAGAGTTTGATTTAGGCTTTATTTTTATAGAGATTGTTATATAACATTAAAGCAACAGGTGCACAGCATGATCAGTTAAGCAGAAAAAACAAATACAGAGGTAACTAGGAAAAGTACAAGAATTTCCATAGTTTCAGTTATGTTAAACAAAAGTTGTTTTGACCCGGAGAGCCATTAATCAGACAATTTGAAATAGCTCTATGTACAGAGTTTGAATGTTTTATTGTTTATTAAAGGTCTTAGAATTTGGCATGGGACAAAAGGTATGCTAGACCGAGCAGAGGTTAGGAAATTTATTATAAGGCCTTTGTGATGTCTCACTTAGCTATCTATCGGTCCAAAATGTTTCTCTATGTTCTATGGACTCTAACTCCTTGGTAATTGTATCTACGTGCTTAGTTTGTAGTTGCTAACAAGCTTCTCTTGTTTCTTTGCCTGCTAAATTCTAATTAATATATATTCCTGTTCAAGGTAAAGGAGGGCTGTTATTCCAACAACTTTTAGACATTCAGGGGCTTCGTTCTCTGGTCAAGAAATTATTTTGTATAACTTCATTGGAATTATGCTAATCAATGAACCTGAAATACAAGTGTCTAACAATCCCACCACCTTTTGGTCACCAAAACAAACATGCAAAGAGAGATAGACAGGAAATCCAGCCACAGTTGCCTCTGCCTTGCAGATGCATCTCAACCGTCCTGCCCTTGTCAAGGGATGGTTGCTGGCCGGCTCCCAACACCCTAGGACTCTGATGCCTCAAGACAGTGTAGGCCACACCATGCAGCCTCCGCAGCAGCAGAGTCTCAACTGCGCCACTCACCTAAGTCTTTGCAAGCAAGAGCCAGACCATCACCACTGGCCCCTGGGCATGGGAGGCGGGGGCAGTGTGGCCTGGGTCCCAGGCACCCACGGGGCTTATTCTGCATGCAGGGTTTTCTGTGCTCATTGGGTTGGCTCTGAGCCTTTCCAAATGTCAGAATATCAACTGGAGAGACCACTCCCACATGGAAAAATAAGAAAAATGGCATCTTGCCCTGGCCAGATAGCTCACTTGATTAGAGCATCATCCTGAGACACGAAGTTTGTAGGTTCAATTCCCAGACAGGGTACGTACAAGAATCAATCAATGAGTGTATAAATAAGTGGAACAAATTGATGTTTCTTTCTCTCTCCCCCCACCTGTCCTCCCCTCTCTGTAAAATCAGTAAATTTTAAAAAGTTAAATGAAAAGAGAAAAGTGGTGTCTCAAACCCATGGGCAAGGGGTGAACATAATATGTAGTACTGGGATAACCAGTAGCCATTTAGTTACCAAACTCATTCTTCGTATCACATAGAATAAATTCCAACTGGAAGAGAGATTTATATGTAAAGAAACAAAACCAAACAAGTACTAGATGAAAACATGTATAAAATTCTCTAGAACTGAAATTTAGGGCAATTTTAGTATGGCTCAAAATCAAGAAACAGTAAGGGAAAAAACACTGATAAGTGTGACTACACAGAAATAAACTTTTGCATGACCAAAAAATAACCAAGTACAAAGGCAAATGACAAACTCGGGGTTAGTCAAAAGTCAATATAAACACAACCACAAAAGGACAATTTCCAGCTTGGCGCTCTAACAACATAGGAAAAGGACCAAAAAATTCAGGTGCACGCCCACAAGTGCAGACTTTGGCCTCTGATCCTTTTACACTGAGCACAGTCAGGGGTCCTGTAGTCCAAAACCACAGCAGGTTCAAGAAGGTCAGCCAAGGTCAGGGGCTCCCTCTGACTGCTTGGACCAGTGTGGACATTTTTAGTGTACAGTAACTACTAATCATAATGGCAGTTAATTGGATCAAGTAGAGTTGGTGGCAGGCCTTGATTTCATCATGCACTTGCAAGTCTTAATGATAAAGGAAACAAAAAAGTAGGTATAATTGAAAGGGTGACATTTAAATGTTTAATCCTGCACTTGCTTTAACAAATAGGAAAGCAAGTGTGCACACATGTGCAGATGTTTTCTGAGCAAACTGTTTCAGGGTTTAATCAGAGACGCAGAACCAGAGACAGAAGCTGTGTATGTAAATCATGTGATGGTACAGAAATTGCATCTCACAGAATCATGGGACATAGCTGGGTCAGGACAGGAAACTGGGAAGGGCAGAGAGACAAGCTGGGGCCTGTGGTCATAAGCTGGAATCCAGGATGGACTGAAAATTGTGTTTTCCTTGATGGTGTGGGTGTCCTGAAGAAGTGAGGGTTTGCTGTCATTGAGCAAAACACAGCCAGGAACCAATGAAGCTGAAGGATCCAGAGGAAGATGTGTGTGGTCCATTACTGTTTCATGCCACCCAACGAGCCAAGGGACACGTGTGAGTGGCGGTGGTGCCTCTCAGACCTTTCAGAGCACTTAGCACCTCTGGACATACACTGTGATTCACACATTCCTTGTGCTGCCTGCCTTCCCATTCACCTGTGAGGTCCAGGAGCAGATGGATTCCCTGGGAACTCTGTCTATTCTGATCACTGGTGGAGCCGGCTCTGAGAACAGCCCAACGCACACAGGCACTCAGTAAACACTGTGCTGTTGGAGCAGAGACAGAGAAGTGTCAGAGCTCGACACAAACAGATGTGCTGGGGAAATGCTACTTGTTGAATTGCTAGAAAAACTAAGGAAATGTTAGTTGTTCAACCTAACGGAAGCGTCCAACAGGAGTCTGTAGTGTTGTTCTTTCAACCTTTATGAATATATGAACGTTTTCAAAATAAAAACTTGTGGAGGAGAGAGCAAGGTGTGCTGGGTCCCAGACGCATCAGTTCTCTGTTGGGACCAAGGTTGCTGGGACAGAATTCACTCTAGTGAAAGATAAATTGAGGTACATTTTAAACTCTTCCATTAAAATTTAGAAGCATGTACTTGAGCAAACATATGTTGGAACCAGGCAGCACCAAACCCAGCTCTGCGGGAAGCAGAGCTGGGAAGCGGTTTGCATAGGGAAGATGCAGAAGCAAAGCACGGAAATTGTTGAGCGGCTACAGTTCAAGCAACTGTCTCATCTGGGAAGCCTGGCTGGAGTTTGCTTACGTAGGTACCAAAGCATAAGAGCCACTCAGACTTAATGGCCTCCTTGTCGACTTTAACACAGTTGACTGGCAAAGCCCTCCCTGTCCCCAAGCTTCAGTCCCTTAGCCATGGGGACCCTGCTCCACTGGGGCGTGGAATATAAGAAGTTCCCTGGAGACAGCTGCCGCTCGCACTGCTGCAGCACCGGCTCGGCGTCCTCGGCTGCCTCCCTGCGGAACCCACTGACTACCGTCATCCCACTGACCTCCTGCGTCGTCCTCAGGTGGACAGAACCCCTCCAGCACTAAGCTGTCTCGCTGGTTGCTCCTGAGCGCTCTGAGCCCTACGACACACGTGCCGGGTGAAGGGTCTTAGGCCCACGGCTCCTCCCAGCAGCCTGGGCAGGCCCCCTCGGGCCGCTGCTCGGGAGGGCGCGTTTGCGTCTCGGTGCGCCCACAGCCCCCCAAAAAACACCAATCAGGGTAACCACGAGGCGGTCACTGTCCCCCATGACGACCACCGTCAGGCCCTCACCTGACAGGACAGTAACCAAAAGCTATCCCACGGAAGAAGTGGCCACCTGCACCAACGGAGAAGGGACCTGCGAGTGCTAAGGCCAGAAGTTCTACGAGATGAAGTTGCAGTTACTCACAAGCCTAGTGCTGGGCCCGTGTGTAGAGAGGCGGAGGGCGCAGGAAGCTCTTATGAAGCCGCCGGAAGTGCGGCCAGTGAGAGACCTGAGCGCTGTGTGGCCTCTCTAGGCGGCGCGGAGGCCTCGGTTTTTCTTGGTTCCAGAGCTGGCTGCTCTGTGGTCCGTTAGGCAAAAAGCGCCGGAGGGCGAGGCGGGGACGATAGCCGGTCAGGGGGATGTTGTGCTCTAGGATTGGTGGTCCGGGTGAGTGGGCGGGGACCTAGGAGGCGGGGTCCCCAGGGATTGGTGGCTGCGCCAACCAGGCGGTGCGTCCCCTTTGTCCGAGTGCGCTGCTGCCGGCCGCCCCTTCACGCGTAAGACTGCGGTGCGGTCGGTGAGTCAGGGGCGGTTAGCGCCGGCGGGCCATGGCCCTCTTCCCTCACTGGCGCGGGCACTGACGCGGCCTCCGCCCGGATCCGGTCCTTCCCCTCCAGCAGGTAGTGTACCCTTCTTCCTCGCTGGTACCCTTCCGCCAGGAAGCGCAGTAACCCCCTTCCCGGACCCCAGAGTCTCATCCCCCGCCCCCCATCCTCTCCCTCGCCCCCTCCCCCTCCCGCGGGTGCCAGCCCTGGCGGGTTGGAGGGCTGCGGGGGGGTCTCAGCAAGGTCTGGGCTGGAAGGGCGGGCGCGGGTGCCCGGGGAGGGTGGTCAGCCTCGGGGGGTGCCCGGAGCGTCCCCCGGCTCGCTGGAAACCGCCCCGGGGGCGGTGAGCAGAAGTGAGTCTCTGGATCTCACACCCTCCCTGCGTTTCCTCCCGACGCTGTCTCTTCCCTGTGACTTTGTAAAAGCCCTTTTTAATGAATGAGACCACCTTTTCTCACAGTTTGCAAATGTTTTGCTTGTTTTCACTTGGTTTTTAGTATTGTAGTAGACAATACGTAATAATTTTCTAAAAAATACAAGCATGTCAGAAAAATATAAAAAGTGAAAGTCACCCTCCGCGACGAGCGGCAGTGCGAGCGGAAGAGGCCCTGGCTGGTTTGCTTTGTGTTGTTTCCGGATATACATGCTCTTTTTTGTTTCTAACCTAAAAGGAGGGTCGGGGCGTTTGTTGGGTTTTCTCTGCTGCGAACTGCCTTGTCGGCCGCGCATTCGACGGACGTTGACATCCGGTCCCGTGTGGGGTGACTGGGAGGTGGACAAGGTCGAAGCTGGGGCCTTATCCCCGAAGCCCAGCGTTCTCGCCAGACTGTTAATTTGCGTTCGGATGATCGGTGAGGTCGGCACTTCGTGTGTTTTAGCCTCAGAATTTCCTGCGTGATCTGCCAGTTCATATTCCCATATACGTTGAAAACAATCTTAAATGATGGTTTGGTTCTGGTTTGGGGTCTTTTGAGGTGGAAAACTTCAACTATTTAATGATCACATATTTACCCTTAAGGGTTTGTGTTTTGAGGGCTTTTCCCACTCCAAAATTGTTTTTAGAATAAATTCTTGTTTTTCTTTGGATCCGTCTGGAATTGGGTTTGGTGGGGAGTAAACTGGGAAGCCAGCTTCATTTTTCTTTTCTCTAAATCATGTTATTTCTAAGTTTACTTATTGAATAATTCATCTTTTCATTGATTTGGCAAACTACCGCTGTTGTGTATTACATTCTTACACGTCTTTGGAACCATTTCTGCATTTTATGGTGTCCTTGATGTACATAAATATTTGAATTCATGAAGTAGATCTGTCCCCCAGCCTTTCTGCTTTGGCTATTTTGCTTAGAAAATCCCTTCTTACTGAAACTAATGAAAATTTACATGCATTTGTATTCAATTTATTTATGATATAATTTTACATTTTAATTCCTATTCATTAATTAGCTTAATGGATTCATTAGACTTTTCTGAATATGAGATGATCTAATTTTTTTGTCCTTTTGTTTGTTTCTTTGCCTTTGTTCTACTTACTTTCTGGGAGATTTGTTGAGCTTTATATAAAGGTGGCTTTATTTTTCCCAAGGCACTGAGCCCTTTGTCCTGGTAACATTTACTGAGTCATCTCTGTTACAGCAATTTGGACCATAGATGGGGCCTTGCTCCTGAGTCCCTGAGCCCTCTTCTCATCCAAGCCAACCTGGCTCTGGCCAGGACTTTGTGGCTGTAGTGGGCAGAGTTGACAGCACATTTCCACGTGTATCCTCAGTGTGTTTGTTTGCCATTTGTGACTAGAACATTTTCCCTATATTTTCTGATTAGGGGTTGGCTGGCGTACGGAAGCTGGCAGCTTGCATGCCTGTTTGTGGTCATTTACTCCAGGAGGTTGCCAGTTGTACTTGGTGCCCACACCTGGCTGAGCCCTGCATCTTCTTAAGGTGGTTTTAACACTCTGGAGGGCGGGCTCAGTGGACATGAGGGGGCAGGGCATTCCAGCAGGGAAACCTGGGATGAGGGGGATGAGGGTGAACGGAGCGAGATCTAGGAGGCGTGCAGCTGCCCAGCCCAGGAACTCTGAGGGTATCTGTCACAGCTTGTCACTATGGGTGATGTCTTTAGAAGGACAGTGATCAAGACCATCAGAAATGACTGCTCTGCTTGTGGAGTATCTTACTCTTCACCTCAGTGCTTCACTAATAACTCACTTTTTCACTTTAAACTGAAAAAAAAAAAGACCATCAGGAACTCCAACAAGGGTGTTAAGTTCCTAAAACTTAGCTTACAAAGCAAAATAATAATAATAAAAGTTAAATTCTAAGCTCTTTGCGTCTCTGCAGTCCCTTTTTTAGGTCCTATCTGTGGTTTTCTTCATCCTGCAAAATACCCCCATTGGAATTCTAATTAGAATTGTATTGCGCACACACGCACGTTTGGGGGAAATAGGCATTTCTGGTGAACAGAGTGGCAGGTGCAGTGAGTTCAGTGTGTACCTTCTGGACAAATGTCCACATACCTAGTGTTTTACAGAGAAAGCAAGGTAAAGGTGCCTCCTCTGGCTGACCCATGGAGCATTCTCCAGAAGGATGACTGTTCTTTACTGTGAAACTCTTGGGGGTGACCTGCCTGCTGGGCTTCTGTGCCCCACTGCAGATCCCCCTCTGCATTCCAGAAGATGGGAACCTCCTCCTGTCAGGACAGCTCCTGGTCCCTTTTTTCCAGCAGTTTGGTGGGACAGACACCTCAGCTTAACTTGTCTAGAATCCACCTACTCCTAGGCCTGTCAGATGCTTAGATCAAATCTGTGGGGCACTAAGTCTCACTCTACCAGAACCCAGCCCCCCACAGCCACCGGGGCAGCCAGGCATAACCAGGCATAGCTGAAGTGTCAGAGTAGTCACAGAGGGTCATGATCAGGCCAAGCGTGCAGGGCACGGGGTGGGGTCCCCACAGGAGAGTGTGTCTGCAGCAGAGCCATCCCTTCTCAGGCTCTTTCCTCTTTGGGGAATTGTCTCTGAGGCAGCCTGGCCTGGCACCCCTACCAGACCTGATGGCTACCTGGCACCTGTGTGAATGTTCTCACGTGGGCCCTCGTGGGCAGACTGTGGGCCAGGCCAGGGGAGCAGGGCAGATGGCCCAGAGCTCTCGAGTGTACAGAGGTCCCCAGGCATCCCAGAGTTGTGACCTCCTGGGTCCGCGCCTAGAACGGTGTGTTTCTGTGGCTCCTGAGCAGTAGGGTTGAAGCCCACAGAGGGCAGGGCTCCCCTGAGAAATCAGGGTCTGCGCCACAAGACCAGGCTCTTCATGTGCTCCCTTCTCTTCCCTCAGCCTCACAGGCTTCTCTGGGTTCCATCTTCCTCAAAGACAACAGGGGACTGGGCAATGGCAGCAGCAAGGCTCCTGCCACCGCCGGCGGGACCCCAGGTAAGCTGCCCAAGGCCTGTGTAGCTGCATTTCCTCCCATGCCCGGTGGCAGCCTGGGCATCAGCATATCCCCTGATGTCTGTGGCCCCTTCCTATCACCCCATCAGCTCCCAGGTATCATCAGGCTTTCCCCCATTTTGGGATATACCTCACCCCATGTTGCTCGCACCTTCTCTGTCTCAGATGTGGAGACAGCCTGACCTTCAGCAGCCTGTCTTTCCAGGTCAAGGTGACCTTTGAGGATGTGGCCGTGCTCCTCTCCCAGGAGGAGTGGGACCAGCTGGGCCCTGCTCAGAGGGGCCTCTACCGACATGTGATGATGGAGACCTACGGGAATGTGGTTTCGCTAGGTAAGGCCCCTCAGCAGGCCAGACTGTGGGCTTCCTGGGGGTGGAGCTATACGGTAGTGGCTTTGCGGTCTCCTATGGGTGCTCAGCTCCAAAGGGAGTTCGGTCCTCTGTCTCACACCCACAGACCACTCAGGTTGGGTGAGGGCGCTCTAAACAAAAGGCCTTCACTCCCCATGAGCAGGACTTCCAGGGACCAAGCCCAATGTGATCTCCCAGCTGGAGCGAGGAGAAGAGCCCTGGGTCCTGGACGGGCATGGAGCCAAGGACAGCAAGGGCCTGGGCAGCGGTGGTTCAGGTGAGTGAGAGGAGCTAGCCCTCCTGCATTAATGGCTGAGCACATCCCAGTGGCCAGGAGTCTTCAGGAGTGGCTTCCTCCTGGGCCTCTCCCAGCAAAGGGGCTTGTGGGCTGGCAGGGCTGAGCCAGGAGAGGCCAGGTGTTGGTGAGGGCACACCTGTGGTGATTATGCCCTGCCAGGTCCCTATTCTTCTGGGACGTGCAGAATTTGAGAGCTCCCCTGGCTTGTGCAGAGCACCAAGAGCAAAGCACCTGGTGTGGAAGGGAGGTTAATCTGACCCTATGGTGAGGCTGAAAGCACACTGTTCAAAATGACGAGCAAGGCAGCCTGCCATCCCCATGTGTGTATAGTGTCCTGGGGTCTCACATACTAAGTAAGGCAAGATACATGGAAAACAAAACAAGACAAGCTACAAGATTTGGGAAAAAGAAGAAAGGTATTGTTTCTAGTTGGTATGATTGTCTACTTGGAAAAAGGTTGATTAGAATTCACAAGAACAATTACCCACGTTGCTGAAGACACATTTTTACTTCTATTCATCAGCAACAAAGACGGGATAGATATTTTCCTGTTTTATTGAGACAAAATTTGCCATCCTCATGGCTTCCCCAGAGGCCCCATCTCTGGCCTAGACTTATTTCTTGTATCCCCTGCAGTGCACTCTATACAAGGAAGAGCTCACAGCCTGCTGCATACGAGTGTATATTCCTGTGTCTCTGGGATTAGGCTGGGTGGTGTGTGTGTGTGTGTGTTGTGTCTGCCTGGCGGGGCTCCTCGAAGTTGTGGGTAATCTGCATTTCTGCTCCAAATGGCCTCTGGGAACCCAGTGCACAGAGGACTGACTCCAGGGAAGGCAGGGCTGAGACCTCTCTGGGCTGTCACCTGATGCCATGGCCATGGGTACACTTCACACAGAAGTGACCTCAGGCTAGAGGTTGGACCTTTCAGCCTGTGCACATCTCCTGTTTCACACTGCTATGCTTTCCTGTCCTCTCGGGTCACCCAGGCAAGTGCACCGCACCTGAGCTGCAGTTTGAGTGGGCTGTCATTTAACTTTTTTTCCTTTGAATGTGTTGTTTTAGAATGTGAGAACAAGGGAGAAAACCAAAATAGTCTGAAGTTGTTCGTTTCAGAGGAAGTATCCACAGTTCTGGGGAAAACAGCCCCTGGGTGGATTGATCAAGGAAGTGACAAACCTGAGCAGAGCTTCCGTCTGAGTCCAAGCTCCACGGGCCCCTGTGAAGGTGAGGTCTCCAGCCTAAGCAAGCCGCTCACTCGGCAGTCGGCCACTCCCAGTGGGGAGAGACCCTACAAATGCGTCGAGTGTGGGAAATGCTTTAGTCGGAGTTCCCACCTTCTCCAGCATCAGAGGACCCATACAGGAGAGAAGCCCTACGTGTGTGGAGTGTGTGGGAAGGCCTTCAGCCAGAGCTCGGTCCTCAGCAAACACAGGAGAATCCATACGGGCGAGAAGCCCTACGAGTGTAACGAGTGTGGGAAAGCGTTCCGTGTGAGCTCAGACCTTGCCCAGCATCACAAAATCCACACAGGAGAGAAGCCCCATGAATGTCTTGAGTGCCGCAAGGCCTTCACTCAGCTCTCACACCTCATTCAGCACCAGCGGATCCACACTGGGGAGCGGCCCTATGTGTGCCCACTGTGTGGAAAGGCCTTCAACCACAGCACTGTGCTGCGCAGCCACCAACGGGTGCACACGGGGGAGAAGCCCCACGAGTGTGCAGAGTGTGGCCGGGCTTTCAGCGTGAAGAGGACTCTGCTGCAGCACCAGCGGGTGCACACCGGGGAGAAGCCATACTCCTGTAGCGAGTGTGGGCGCGCTTTCAGTGACCGGTCAGTCCTCATCCAGCACCACAACGTGCACACAGGCGAGAAGCCCTATGAGTGTGGGGAGTGTGGCAAGGCATTCAGCCACCGCTCCACGCTGATGAACCACGAGCGGATCCACACTGAGGAGAAGCCCTACGGCTGCTATGCCTGTGGCAAGGCCTTTGTGCAACACTCCCACCTAATCCAGCACCAGCGGGTGCACACCGGAGAAAAGCCCTACGTATGCAGCGAATGCGGGCATGCCTTCAGCGCCCGCAGGTCTCTGGTCCAGCACGAGAGAATCCACACAGGTGAGAGGCCCTTCCGCTGCACACAGTGTGACAAGGCTTTCAGCCTGAAAGCCACACTGATTGTGCACCTGAGGACACACACAGGCGAGCGGCCCTACGAATGCAGCCGCTGTGGGAAGGCCTTCAGCCAGTACTCTGTGCTCATCCAGCACCAGCGGATCCACACGGGTGAGCGGCCCTATGAGTGTGGCGAGTGTGGCCGTGCCTTCAACCAGCACGGACACCTGATCCAGCACCAGAAGGTGCACCGGAAGCTGTGACCTCAGTAGCCACAAGAGTCATTCACACTCAGGCACACAGACCGGGAATGCTGTAGCTCAGGAGAAGCCCTGTGGTAATTGAGGGTCACAAAATAACTCCAGGGAGAAGCACTGAGCTTGTTATTTCTGTGGGAAAACTTAAGAGGGTGCCTGTTTAATTTTTTCGAAATATTGGAAGTTGTACTGGAGAGTAATAACAATTGTAGTGAATTTTGGTAAAGACAGCCATAATTCTTTAACACTAGGTAGTTTCAGATAAACTCAAGAAAGGCATAAGGATTACTGTCACAATAAAAACTTTCTTACATTCCAAATAAAGGTTTCTTAGAACATTTCATGCCTTTCTGAAAAACAATGGCTACTCTAATTATTACACTTAGAATGAGGATATTGGACTATTTGCAGTATCTTGTTAAACCACTAAAGTGCAGTGTGGATGAAATGCTATTGAAGTGTCATGAAGTAGCATCGTGTACTATGGCTAGAAATCCTAATTGTGGGGAACCTCCTGTTTTGTAAGGCGGGAAAAGCAAACATTACAAACTATGAAAATTTATAAAACCCTTATCTGGGGCTTTACCTTTATTCAAGATCAGAAAGGATGTCCTAACTTTCTAGTAAAAATTTAACTCAAAAAATGGATCTTTTCCTCCAAACTCACCCTTGTGACCAACAGACCCTGTGCCCCAGAAATCATGGGATGGCTTGGGCATCTGGGCCCCATTTGGGTGTAGGCGGGGAGCTCCACTCAGTCCCAGATGTCATAGCTGCAACACCCAGTGGGTACCTCGACACACAGGTGTTTCCAAAAGACATTACTAAAAAGACTTGGTGTCTATTTTCAAAACAAAGTTATCGAGTTCAAATAGCTCTTTTTCCTATCAAATATTATTTTTATTTCTAAGTTTGAGGGATTTTGTTTCATTTTCTTTTTAAATTCCTAGTTCCAAGAGTATATTAGCCAGTCATATGCTATAATGGACCTGGTTTATTAATTTTCTTTTAACTTTTTTCTCTAAAACATGATCCACCTCTCAGGAGAAGTTAAGCGCTAGGGATTGACCCTTAGGCCCACAGCAGTGTGCTGTCATGCAGATAAAAGCTCATGTCCCTTGCGTAGACACTGCTGAGGAGTCATGGGTCCCAGAGAGTGCAGCTGTCGCCCTCGCTCATGCCGCCCACAGCCTGCCACTACCTGGCACAAATCCTAATCCCATGGAAGAGTTAGAACTAGTCATGTTCCCGGCAGGATGAGAATAAGAGTTACATTAAATCATGCTGTTCGGTGTACAGAATACCATTCTGCCTTTTCTTGCACCAGCTGCTGTGGAACCCTTGGTGAGCATCGAGCTCAGTGTCCATGGAGCTGGGTGGTAAGCACATGGCGCCCTATCCCTGGGGAGGCTCACAGACTGCAGTCCTGCCCCAGGAGCAGGAGGTAGCACACCACCCAATGACCCATATGGCGGTCATGGTTGGAAGTGGGCATCAGAGGCCAAAATGACCTTTGGGGCCCCCAAACCCTGATAAACTGCCTTCTTGGCTATTACTTCCCATCTCTGACTTAGCAGCATTCAATACTTTTATTTTGAACTCTTCATATTTTATGTATTTAAATCTATTCATAGTGTTTCTCCTTATCACTAGCAAGAGTTTGACAGTTCTTTTCAGATTTTTTATTATTTGGGGAACATTTTTGTCCACCTGAAATTTTTTTTCTGTGTAACTGTATAACCTGATGTACTTCCAATAAAAACAGTAATGAGTGGAACGTACTTGTGGGTGAAGGAAAAACAGTAACTGGCGTAAGTGTCTCCTACAATAAAGGAAAATACAACCAGCAAAGTCTGGAAAAGGCCTGTGTGCCAACTCCAAACAAGCAACTAGGAATGGGTATTCTGTAGCACATGGAGCTGTGAAGGCATGGGAAGGGGGTGCTCTGGTGCTGGCTTCTGCTGTCACTAATACAGTCCCACTTACCTAATGTGGGCCACAATCCATGGCCCATCTCTGGAGGAAGATGGCTGCTCAGGTGCCAGAGGCAGCCTGTCGGTTGGGGAATCTAGGCCACCACAGGACACTCCACACAGAGGGCCTGGTGGTGGAGGCCCAGGAGGATCTTTCCCAAGCGTGGACTTGACTCAGGGCAGAGGAAGGTCACAGGGGTGGTACTGGGGGTCTCTGTTATGGCCCACCTGAGTGACTTTGGGAAAAACTTGGTTTTGTGCATAAAAGTTCCCTTCGCACATCTGAGAAATAGATGTGCGAAGTTCAGAGGTCCCCAAGACTTGCCTTCACTTCGAATACCATCACAAGCTTTGAGGTCACCAATGTCACCCTCAAGTTCAACCATTTGCTACACTGACTCAGAACTGGCCCTGAAAGCTGATACAGGATGACCATGTATTACAGGGAACAGACATTAAAATCAATCAGCCAAGAGATCACATGGGGCAGAATCCGGGACAAGTACCAAAAGCAGAGATTCTGTTGTCCTTTCCTTAGGAAGTCACGGTTCCCTTTTCTTTCCTGGCACCGATGTGTGACAATGCGCATGGGGTATTGGCAACCAGTGAAGCTCACCTGACTCTTGGCATCCAGCATTTTTATTGGCTTGGTGATGCCCACATAGCTGACTGCTTGCCTGACTGACCTCAGACTCCAGCCCAGCAGGGGTCAAACGGACGCCCCCACCATAAAATCACACTGTTAGCAGATAAACATCAGGCAAAGCCAGCCCTCTCCTGGGATCAGATTAGTCCTCTCTTCAACAGGTAAGGAGTGGGTTGGAGCCCAGGCCTGCCTCCAACTGCTCTGTGACCTCAGTCCAGTCACTTCCCTTTCTGAGCCTCAGGTTCTCATCCATGTCATAGGGCCACTGTGAAAATTAAATGAAATCAGGAAGACCAGCCCAGCACTCAGTTTCTGTGCGACTGCACAGGTGCAGCCCCCAGGGAGCTGTTCACCCCTGTGAGGGGGTTGTCCAAACATCCCAAAATGCCAGTGGATCTTGGAGAGACTCAGCCCTCAGCTACAGGAAGCATGCAGGAAAATGGGACAGGCTGGGTCAGGGCGTAGAGGCCATACACCCATCTCCAGGGGGGACTCAACGCCAGCCTAGGGAGCATACTTGGACTGTCCCAGCCCTGAGGACAGGTAGGAGGGCCCAGCTCTAGCTCCACTGACCTGGCTCAAATCTGATGTCCTACCTGGATCTGTCCAGGGATGTGCACAGGGTCAGCCACAAGATCTAGGTTTATGGGCACCAAGCATGCACACTGTGAGCGTGACCCCATCTGCCTCACTCTGCCCACCAGGACAGGTGCTGTTACCTCTCATCTGGGGATGCTGACTTGAGATGGGCCAAGGGCTTCAACTATCTGGCCCTCTGACCCCAGCAGCTGCTCTGGCTCACTGCCAGAACTCCCCAGAGCCATCCACAATTATTCATCAACAAGCAGCCCACAGTCCGAGATGACATTGCTCCTGAAGGCCCTTGTGTGTACTGAGACACAACAGGACAGCTACAAGGAGTCAGCCCACCAGTAGCCAAGGAGTGACTGCCCAATAGCCCAGCAGAAACATCTAGAACTCATGGTGCCCTTTGCCCATACTGCCCACCTCCTGAGATGGGCTTGATCTTGGCCCTTGTAAAAATGTCACAAACTCATGTTACAAGCCTTCTTAAACCCAAAACAAGAAGCCCAGAAACCTTGTCAAAACATGTTCTCTAGTTTTTCACAATGCAAACTACCAGCAGTTTCCTCTCCAGGTAACTACTGTACCATTCAATGCGCTTCAGATTGCACTGCCCCACCACCCTGCCCCCCTCGCCAGCACTCCCACCCAGAGCTTTGGTGCTCCCTTCAAGGAGGTCACAGTCACTTGGAGTGCCCTTAGCTCAGGGAACATCTAGGCTGATAGGATGAAGGGCCCCAGAACAGAGGTTAACAAACAACCCAATGGAAGCACATCTGGGCCAAAAGCACTGACGGGCATGACTCCCTCTGAAGCTAACCAGAGTCATAAGTTCAACACAGTATCAGCCCCAGAGTTGTGCCAATTCAGTTAGCAAGCGATGTTAAAATTACACTGTGCAGCCCAGGGAGGCTGTGTGATCAGACTGTTCTTAGTCAATAGTGTGTCCGGAAGGCTGTGCTGGTGACATTATGTATCGGGTACAACCACTCTAGAGAACATTTGCATGATTATATACAACAATGTCCTTTAAAAAGTTCATCCTGTTCCTAGGAATATATCCTAAAGACATCATTTCATTTTTTAAAAAATTTTTACTTATTTTTATTTTTAGAGAGGGTAAGGGAGGGAGCTTCTCACTCACCCCATACTGGGGACCTGACCCGCAACCCAGGCATGTGCCCCGAGAGGAATCAAACAGGTGATGTTTGATTCACAGGCCCATGCTCAATCCACTGAGCCGTGCCAGCCAGGACCTAAAGACATAATTTTAAAAATTAAGTTAAAGGGCCCTGGCTGGTGTAGCTCAGTGGATTGAGCGCAGGCTGCAAACCAAAGGATCGCCAGTTCAATTCCCAGCCAGGGCACATGCCTGGGTTGCGGGCCAGGTCCCCAGTATGGGGTGAGTGAGAAGCAACCACACATTGATATTTCTCTCCCTCTCCCTTCTTCTCTTTCCCTCTCTCTAAAAATGAATTTTAAAATTCTTTTTTTTTAAAGTATTTTAAAAAAAAAAAGAAACAGCCGGACAGCCCCCCCCCCCCACCCCCCCCCCCCACCCCCAGAAAAAATTGAGTTAAAGGCCTGAAACTAGTCATTGTAGAATATGTCCAAATGATATTTTATAAATTATGTCAATTGTTATAGATGCCACCATGCTTTGAAGGCCTGCCACCTTCAGAAGTCCATTTGTGGCAAGTGGAGCTAACCCACCAAGCAGAAGTAGTGTAACTGGAGGGCCAGGTCTAAATGACAAAATGCCACTGGGACTGGTCCCCTGAGGCATCTGAAAATCATACACCACAGATTCAGCCATGGATTCTGTGAAGGAGCAACACCTAAATCCAAGAGGGCAGCTGCTGCAGCATCCAGTTCATCTTAAGTATGTCAATGATTAGTTGTGCAATAAATATTCCAGGAAATTAATTAATCAATTAAAGCAATTACCAGAGAGTCACAGAAGACGACAGAATAGGAAGCCCAGGAACCTGTCCCTCCACCTAAAGCACTACTGCACAGCAGGAACCATCTGAAGTAGCTACTGTGGAACTCTGGAGATTAGTCAAACACTTGCAGCCCAGGAGAGCTTGAAGGGGCCGTCAACTTCAGCAAATTTCATGAACGTCCAGTTCGCGTAGCACCTTCCATGCAAACGAGTGGATAGCGGCCTGTATTCCTGGTGCAGTTTGCTGGAGTCAGGGAGGGCACTAAGGACCTTGTCCTCCAAATATCAGGATTGTGAGTTTTCATGGTTGACTCTTTTTATTGAATTTGAAAGAGAGGAGAAGAGGTGGGAGAGAGAAACATCCCTTTTTTACTTTGGTTCTGTAACAGGGTGCAGCCAGGGCACCTCAAATGGGGAGTTTGTAATGGGGTCCAGAACTCAGGATGTCCAGGAAATATTACAAATATAGGACAGCCTCGCCCCCATAAAGTCTGAATAGGGGGATGGGACACACGGAGCAGGGCCATTGAGCTATTTTGTATATCAACAGTTTTGCAAATAACATCTAGAACAGTCATTTAACATATCTATAACTTTTAACTGGTTTCACGGGTATGTTAAACGGCTGTGGCTGTGCTTTGAACCAGGGGGATGGGAGTGACCTCCACCCAGGATGTAACGGTGAGGCAGCTCCCCGCGGTTATAGTGCCCACCTGAGAGCTTGGAGATGACTGGCTCCACGCCACAGGGCCACGCCTGCCTGGGTATCCTATGGCAGCCCAGAAAAGCTGAAAACATATGGGAATGCGGGCAGATGTAGCTGATTGTGGGAGGAGTCAGAAACGGGGATGTAGAGGAAGCTTGGCTCCAGAATTTAAACCCAGGCACGGCAGCCATGAGGGTTGGAACCACGCAGCTTTGGCAAGAGGGGCGAATGAATGTGGCTTCGGCAAGGTTTAGAACTACGTGACTTTGGAGCTCCCTTTGCCATGCAGCTTAGGAAGTTGGAAAGCAAGATGTAGCAGCCGTGCAGAGCTCTCTCTTAGTGGTTTAGAAGAATGCAGGAGAGACGCCGTGGGAAGGGGTGAAAAGGACTTTTGTCAAGGGCCAGGAGAAGGTGCCACGCACGTCTGGATTGAGAACTGGAGATCCCAGCAACACAGCTGATGCTGCTGGGAATCATGGGAGGCCTGCCTGCTGAGCACGGATTACTGGGAAGAACCCCTGACTGGTGGGACTGGGTAAAGGGGGAAGGAAGGACTGTGTGTGTTTGTGGGTGTTTTAAGAGACTTTGGGATTTTTAACGAAGACATTAACTCATTACTGTAAGTCTGTATAACTTTTGAATAAATAGTTCCTTTCCTTTTCACCAATCTCTGGCATCAAGAGCTATAATTCCCTGGCAGTGAGCAAGACATTATTTGAAAATCAAATAATGGAGAAGGGGGAGTCCATTCGGTAATAGTGTCCTGCCCCTGCCAGGGGTCTGTTCAGTAACAGTTCCACTTATTCTTGCTTTCATTGGTTCTTGTATGTGCCCTGACCAGTGATCAAACCCACAACCTTGGCTATCAGGATGACACTGTAACCAGCTGAGATATTTAGCCAGGTCTGATCCTCACTTTTGATCACTGAACGGCTGATGCACAGTTGGCTGCCACTTTTGTAACTGCTGAGGGGAATTAAGGAGATAATACTTGTTTCTTCCTCTTCTGGGAGCCAGACACTAAGGAAATCTTTTTTAAGTCACTGGATAACCTCACAGGTAATGAAGACAGGAATTCCAGGAACCACACACATCAAAGAATACACTCTTTGCAGAATGTTCGGCAAAGTCACAAACTGGTGTCTACAGCCCTCAACAAGCAAGATTCAGCAATCCCTGAGGGGCAGGAGGCTTAGCATTCCAGAGGGACCACGACATAACACTCAAAATGTCCAGTTCCCGACAACAACAAAATATACAAAGAAACAGAAAACATGTCCCAGTCACAGGGGGAAAAAGACTGTGGCGTATAATCATCCCTGAGAAAGCCCAGATAATGGAATTATTAATTAGGGTATTTAAATCAACAGTCTTAAATATGTTCAATGACCTCACGGAAACCATGGGGGGGAAAAAAACAACTAAAAATCAAATAATGTATGAAGAAAATGAGAATATTAATAAAGACACAGAACTTAGACACTATTAAGAGAGTAGATAAACAACAAAGGATGAGAAAAAATATTTGCAAATTATATATCCAATAAGGATCGACTATACAAAATGTGTAAAGAACCACATCTTAACAACAAAAGATCCAAAATAATCCAATTCAAATACGGGCAAAGGAACTTAATAGACATATGAATGGCCAATAAGCATCTGAAAAGATGCTCAACATCACCAGTCATTAGAAAAATGCAAACCCAAACCACAGTGAGATACCAATTCAAACCCATTAAGAGAGCTATTGTTTTTAAAAAAATGGAAAACAAGACGTGCTGACAAGGATGCGGAGAAATTGTTACCTACATGCATTGCTATCAGAGATGTAAAAATGGTACAGCCACCATGGAAAATAGTTTGGCTGTTTCTCAAACAGTTCAACATACATTTATCCTAAGAAATCTATCAATTTCACCCCTAGGATTATACCCAAAAGTACTGCACGTAGGGATTCAAACAGACACCCGTACAACAGTGTTCATAGCAGCATTATGTGCAACAGTCAAAAGGCAGAAATACCCAAGTGTCTATCAACATGTAAATGGAAAACAAAATGTAGTGGCTACAAACAATGATATACTATTAAGCCATAAAAAAAGAATAACATTCTGGCTCTGGCTGGTATGACTGCATGGACTGAGCACTAGCCCGAAAACCAAAAGGTTGCCTGTGTGATTCCTGGTCAGGTCACATTCCAGGTCCCCAGTTAGGGGCATGTGAGAGCCAACCGATCAATGTTTCTCTCCCTCATTTTCTCTTTCCCTTCCCCTCTATAAATAAACTCTAAAAGGATGAATAATGTTCTAATACAGGCTACAACATGAACCTACCTTGAGGACATTTATTATGCTAAGTGAAATAAGCCAGACATAAATGGCAAATATTGTATGAATTCACTTGTGTGGGTACCTAGAACAGGTCGATTCAGAGATGGAAAACAGGATAGAGGTTGCCAGCAACACGGACGAGAGGAGGAAGGAGTCACTGTTTGATGAGCACAGAGCTTCTACATGGGATAATAAAACAGTTCTGGAAACAGATAGTGGTGATGGCTACACAACACTGTGCATGTATTTAATACCACTGACTTGTACACTTTAAATGGTTAAAATGGTAAACTTTGTTAAGTCTATTTTAACACAATGAAAAAGACAATCATCTATTAAGTACACAGAAAAGTATGAATGATGTTAATTTAAAAAAATTTGCAATATGTAAATATGTGGAATTCTGTCCAGTGTGAATTCTCTGGCATTGAGGAAAGAGCAAAGGTAATGGTCCTGGATGCTGCAATAACAAGCCTAACAGTATTTTCTTTAAAACATTTATATACCTCTCAAGGCCTTCCTCAAACACTCTAAGTCAGCAGTGATGATTTTTTTGTTCTAAAAGGGAGAGATTACAGGAGCAGCTCCCTTTTACTTGCCTTCCTCAGTTTCTCTAAATGAGCATACACTGCCTGGGTTTAAGAGGTCTGTAAAAACTAGACAGAAATGCCTGTCACCTGTGGCAACCCTGTGAGGCCAATAAATAACAGGGCTGTGGGAAGGGCCTGGCAGAATTCCTGGGCCTCCAGCATCAGGTGGAGAGGTCCTCCCAGAGGTGAATCCTCTGATGCCGGAACACACTGGAACTGTGCCGGAAGGCCTTGCCACACCTATTGCACTTGGACGGCTTCTCCCCGGTGTGGATCCGCTGGTGCTGGGTAAGGTAAGCACCCGGGCTGAAGGCCTTCTTGCAGTCACTGCACTTGTATGGCTTCTCTTCGTGGTGTGACCTCTGGTGATGGATGAGTCTGGAGCTGTTGTGGAAGGCCTTGCCACACTCGCCACACTGGTAGGGCTTCTCCCCCCGTGTGGATCCTCTGATGCTGGATGAGTTGAGTGCTCTGACTGAAGACTTTGCCACAGTCATTACATTCATAGGGCTTCTCTCCAGTGTGGCTTCTCTGATGGTCAACAAGTTTGGTTTTTTGGATGAAGGCTTTCTCACATTCATTACATTTATAGGGTTTCTCTCCAGTGTGGATTCTCTGGCGTTGGATAAGATTAGAACTCTGGGTAAAACCTTTGCCACACTCCTTACATTCAAATGGCTTCTCTCCAGTGTGGGTCCGACGATTGCGGATAAGGACTGAGCTGTCACTGAAGGCTTTTCCACAGTCGCTGCACTTATAGGGTTTCTCTCCAGTGTGTATTCGCTGGTGATAAATAAGGGAAGAGTAGGCACTAAAGTGTTTCCCACACTCACTGCACTTACAAGGCTTCTCCCCGGTGTGGATCCTCTGATGCTTCATTAGGTTGGGCCTCTGGGTGAATGTCTTTCCGCACTCGTCGCACTGGTAGGGGAGCTCCCCTGAGTGCATCCTTTGGTGACTGATGAACTCGCAGCTCTGGCTGAAGGCTTTTCCACACTCATCACACTCGTAGGGCTTCTCTTCACTGTGGAGCCGCTGGTACTCGACGAGGTTAGCACTGCACCTAAAGGCTTTCCTACAGTAACCACAGTAATGTGGTGTTTTTTTTTTTTAACTATTTACTTTTTTTTATTGATTATGCTGTTACAGTTGTTCTATTCCCCCTTTATTCCCTTCCACCCTACCCCCCATCCCCACCATCACCCCCCCTTTAGTTTATGACCATGTGTCTCAAGTCCTTTAGATTCTATATTTCCCATGCTATTCTTGCCCCCCCATCTATTTTCTATCTACTGTCTATGCTACTTATTTTCTGTACCTTCTCCCCCCTTCTCCTCCTCCTACTCCCCTGTTGCTAACCCTCCTTGAGATCTTCATTTCTATGTTTCCACTCCTGATCTAGCTGTCCCTTTAGTTTGCTTTCGTTTTAGGTGTGGTTCTTAATAACTGTGAGTTTGTTGTCCTTTCACTGTTCATGTTTCTTTAACTTCTTTTTCTTAGATAAGTCCCTTTAACATTTCATATAATAAGGGCTTGGTGATGATGAACTCCTTGAATTTGATCTTATCTGAGAAGCACCTTATCTGTCCTTCCATTCTAAATGAAAGTTTTGCTGGATAGAGCAATCTTGGTTGTAGGTCTTTAGATTTCATGACTTGGAATACCTCTTTCCAGACCCTTCTTGCCTGTAAGGTCTCTTTTGAGAAATCCGCTGACAGTCTGATGGGGACTCCTTTGTAGGTGACTGTCCCCTTAGCTCTTGCTGCTTCTAGGATTCTCTCCTTCATTTTAATCTTGGCTAATGTAATTACGATGTGCCTTGGTGTGTTCCTTCTTGGGTCCAACTTCTTTGGGACTCTCTGAGCTTCCTGGATTTCCTGGAAGTCTATTTCCTTTGCCAGATTGGGGAAATTCTCCTTTATTATTTGTTCAAATAAGTTTTCCACTGGTGGCTGTGCCTTTCCCCCTTCTGGCACCCCTATAATTCGGATGTTGGAGCGTTTAAAGATGTCCTGGAGGTTCCTAAGACTCTCCTCATTTCTTTGAATTCTTGCTTCTTGACTCTTTTCTGTTTGGCCATTATTTGCTTTCTTCTGGTCCACTCCATTGATTTGAGTCCCAGTTTCCTTTTCATTGCTATTGGTGTCCTGTGCAATTCCATTCATTTCAATGAGTTTCACCTTCATATATTTGTCTAATTTGTCCGTATAATCAACCAGTTCTGTGAGGATCCTGATCACCAATTTTTTAAACTGTGCATCTGTGAGTTTTGCTATTTCTTCATCGCTTAGATTTATTTCTGGGGCTCTGAGATCCTCCTGCGCCATTCTTGGTCTGTTCGGGCCCTTTAAGTGTGAGAAGCTGCGGCTTGGATTCCCAGGTCGCTGGGTTGTGACGCTGTATGTGGGGGTGTGGCCAGAGCGGGGAAATGGCGACCCCCTCTGCCGCTTCTCACAGCTGGGTGCGGAGGAGCAGTGCCTTAGGTGGTTCACCTGGGCCGGGCCACTCAGAGTCGCTGGGTTATGACGCTGTATGTGGAGGTGGGGTCAGAGCAGAGAAATGGCGGCGCCCTCCACTGCCGCTTGCCGTGGGGACCTGCTGGCCCGGTCCAACCGCCCACTTCCTCGCCTGTCCACCCTCGCACAAATGCGCGACCTCAGTCAACACGCAGCCCCGGCCTGGCTGTCTCCCCTGAGGTCGCTCGCCTGGTTGCTGGCTGGGTCGCTCACTAGGTCTGACCCTGCGTCTGGATTCCGCGGGCCTGAGTGTGTCTGGCCTAAGAGTCCTCCTGTGCAACCCTGCACCGCCAGCCGCTGGTTTCGCCCCTTACCGGTCAGGCTGAAGAATTTGTTGTTAACGGACTTCCGAAAAGTTCAATTTTCCATGTTCTGGCTGTGTTTTCTGTTGCTAATATTTAGTTTTCTCTAATCTTGGTTGTGGGAGAAGGAACGGCACATCCACCTATGCCTCCATCTTGGCGGAAGTCCCCCGTAATGTGGTGTTTTGCCAGTAGGAATTTCCTGATCTTCTTTAACAACTACATTTGCACTAAAAATTTCTTCAGAGTGCCCTGGCTGGTGTAGCTCAGTGGATTGAGCGCGGGCCTGCGAACCAGACAATCGTGGTTCGATTCCCAGTCAGGGCACATACTGGGGTTGCAGGCCAGTTCCCTGCAGGCCAGTTCCCAGCAGGGGATGCATGAAAGGCAACCATACATTGATGTTTCTCTCTCTCTCTCCTTCCCTTCCCCTCTGAAGATAAATAAATAAATCTTTAAAAAAATAAAAATTTCTTCAGAATCATGAATTGTATTTGTTTGTTTTGACCTGTGTACACGCTTACGGTTATTTATATATGATCTCTGTTCAAAACTTTGCTCACATATATTGCATTTGTGAGGTCTCTGATCGGGGACAAGACTTGACCCCAACTGGAGGCTTCCCCCATACTCCTGGCTGCTTTCCCCGTTGGTCAGTGTGACTGGCCTAGGGCTTCCCTGCTCCATGGGCTTGTCTGGGCTCTCCTCCGACTCCCCAACTGGTGTACAGGCTTCTTCTGGCTCAGTGCCCTGGGGAACAGTTCCCCTGAGTTGGTCCAGTTCTGCCCCATCAAGCATCTCCCCTGAAGTCAACTCCCTGTACTCAGTACTGATCTCATAAACTGAAAGAACAAACAGAACATCTCAGGGTCATCTGTTCTCACTCTGGAAGGAAGATACAAAGATGCTGCCAACCACCTGTGCGGTAGAAATTCCACCATCTCCAAAGTCACACCTTCTAGAGGTAAGAGCCTGGAACTTGGAGGCTTAAAATCTCACCCAGGGCCACAGTCATGTAGCAGTGCAAGCATTTAACCCAGATCTGATCAGCACCCATGCCCTTCCTGCCTGCCTTCTACCTCCAAGACCTGCCAGAATGGGACAGTGGGATGCCTGTCCTCATTACAGAGAATGGACAGGCCCAAAGTCATGAAGGGCACCTGAAAGAAAAAGAAATTAATACCAAGCAAGTCTAAGGTCACCTAAAAATACCCCAAATCCATGCTAAGAAAGCCAGCTGTCTCCCAAGAAGAGCGGAGGGCCAAGCCTGTGTCGGCCGTGGAGGAGGGCAATGTCCCGAGGCCAGGTTCCCTGGCTCTCTCAGCAGGCCATTCCCACTCCAGGGCTCTTTCCTGGGGCACGAGAAGCCACCAGTGAGCCACCAGTACCTTAAACTCAACATGCCAACCAGAATGCTTCCATCAGGAAGGCTTTAAGCAGGCTGCCCCTCCTCCCCTCCTTGACTAGACACTCACTCAGCAATTCCTTGGGTAGAAACACACACCCCAAAAACATGTTGTCAGTGATCCAAGAGACACAGCAACCCCAAAATGGGGATAATTCAATGACCTCAACAATATAACAGAAAATAACTTGTACATTCACAATAGAACACTACTGCAATGGTGCGGAACAAACTCCACACAACACAGACATGCCTCTAAAGCTGTGATACCCACCGGCATCTAGCAGACAGCACCCAGGCCGCAGAGGGAAGGGACCTCAGGGCACAGCAGGAAATGAGAGAGGAGGCCCCATAGGCTCCCAGAAACATTCTGTATGTTGATCTGTGGGAGGTTTGTTTTTTTGTGTGTAAACATTTGCTGAGCTATATAAACTCAGGGTTTATCCCATTTCTGTAAGTATTTAAATTCAAATGTATAAATTTACAAAGGAGAAATTCAAGTCCTTTGAACCTGGGGTTTCTTCCTAGGACATTATCAAGACGGGCAGCACTGGGGCAGCACGGTCCACTTCAGTGAAACTAGAGAACACCCTTCCTGCTGGCACTTCCAGCAACAGCAGCGACCGAGACTCCTATGCACAGAAATGGACACACACTGAGTGACAAGCACGGACCACACAGGGCTAGAACAGAGACAGCAGGTGTGGACTATAGCACATGGGGTGATGTGATGGTCTGGGAATGGAGAAACGGTGAAGCAACAGGCCCATCTAACCTCAATCACTCCTAGTGCTGAGCTCTTGGGGGCAGGACTCCCTAGGACCCCATGGGCCCTTCCCTCTCCGATGACGCTGCCCCTCTCACTGCCTACAAGATTCAGTTCAAGGCACTGAACACCTGAATACTGAGGTACTCAGATGGAGGTTTCAGCAGAGGCCACTCCCAGAGCTGCTGTACTGGCCCAGAGGCATCTTCCGCCAAACTTCTCAGTCATTAGCTGCATACCCTGGACCCCACGAATGCTTGTTCAGTGACTAGTGAGAGAACCAGCCCCTTGCGCACCTGAGCCATCGACTCCCAACCGCTCTCTCCCCTCAGCACCCTGCGTGTTCAGGACCCGTGGTTCATCCCCTTGCTCCAACTGTGTGATCACCCCAGGCTTGGGACCTGCAGGTCCAGCTCCCAGGAAGGAGATGGGGCCTGGGGTTGGTGCTAAGGACATGGGACTGGGGGCCCGCAGGGGGAGGAGAAAGGCAGGTACAAGAGTGATGGGGAATCAGAACACCCTGAGCGGCTAGGATGGTTGTAGAGATGAAGATCTGAGCACAGGGGACAGCAGGACAAGAGGCCTGTCCCACCAGTACTGTACAGCTCCCAGCTTCCCCTGGGAAACGATCTGCCACCAGCCAGGAGCAGAGAGAGTCTATCCAGGAGTTCAAAGGAAGGAGAGGCTGACAGAGCCCCACTGGGCTCCTCCAGGGCACGGACAGACCAAACTTGTCTCTGGGTCCAGGGATGAGGTCCCTAGCTCAGCCCCTGTGAGCCCTCAGTGCCCAGGGCTATTCCCTGAGCTTCGTCCTGTGAGGGGCCTTACCCAGGGAGACCAGGTTCCTGTAGGTCTCCAGCATCACGTCCCTGTAGAGGCATCCTCTGAGCAGGGCCCAGATGTCCCCACTCCTCTGGGGAGAGGAGCACGGCCACGTCCTCGAAAGTCACCTTGGCCTGGAACGACAGGGGCTGCTGCAGGACTAGGTGAGGTTCAGACAGGGCCCTGGGGGCAGGGGCAGCAGAGGCATGCTCAGTGCACAGCACGGGGTGTCTGCAGGCCTGATGCTCCAGCACTGCCTGGTGGGTGGTCTGACCATTTGGCTGCTGAGCCAGCCAACTCAGGGTGGCTGGGTAAATCCCAAGTCTCCACTCCACTGCTCAGCACCCAGAGATGTCTGACAGCATCTGCTGAGGCAGAGCAGGAGGGAGAAGCCCCGGGTGGAGACCTCACATCACCCAGACCAGGGAGGATAATGCTCACCTGGGAAAAGGAAGATAGGTGCAGAGCTGCCATCATGTGATTCCCTGAGCTTCCCAGGGGAGGTGTGCACGAGCCGATCACTCAGGTGCTGAGGGAAGACAAAAGAACACATGGAGACCCATTCAGGTCCCTCCTGCGTGCGGCTTCAGGGCTTGCTTATTGAGATGACACAGCCAGCCTCCTAGCAAACTTCCCACCCCCACTAGATGAACACAGGGCTATCCAGGTAACTTGCCCTTCCTCCTCCCAGGCACAATAAGTTGTCTCACTCAGGAGGAGGACAGAGATTCTCATTCCCTTTACATGAAGGGATAAAGACAACACATTAAAGGTTCGGGAGGAAAAAGATGTAAAAAAAAAAAAATCAATAGCCCTGATTGGCTTAGTGGGTTAGATGGACATCACTGGGCCAACCTAGAGGTCACTGGTTCAATTCCTGGGTCAGGGCACCTGCCTGGGTTGCAGACCAGGTCCCCAGCTCAGAGGCATGAGAAGGGCAACCAATCAACGTTTCTCTGGCACACTGATGCCTCTCTCCCTCTCTTTCTCCTTCCTTTCCCCTCTCTCTAAAAATAATTCCATAAAATCTTTTAAAGAAATCAACAGAAGGCACATAGTAAAGACAAAGTATAGAAGGTGAAAATAAGAAACCAGTAGAAACAAGTCCCATGAATGAAAGATGATGAGAAATAAAAGAATTAAACTTGCTCAAGAGAAGCACAAGACCTTTCGATCATATATGTGAAATGCACCTACATAACCTACAACAAAGCAGTACAGACAGGATGAATACAGGACACAGCAGACGAGCACCAGGGAAAGTAAAGAAGCTTGGTGCTAGAGTGGCACACAGACCTCGCTGCCCGCTCGGGGGAGCACCTAGACTCCAGCAGCACCACTGTGCCTCTGCCCAGCTCCCCTAGGGACTGCACAGCTTCACTCCTCCGTGCTGGCTCCCCCCTCTGCGTGGTGCTGCTGAGCTTACTACGCACTGCTGCATATGGTTTAGTGATATTTACACCAATCAAAACAGAACTGAAAGCAAAGTCATTACAGCAACAAAAACAAACCTTGTTTATTTAAAAAAAAAAAGATAAAACCCACCTAAAAACTGTCATTACAAATATGTGTATCTATCAACAAACTTTCAAAACGCAAACAGCCAGAGCTAACTGACCAAGCAAAGAGTTGCTGGCAGCCCTCCCTGGGATGACAGATTTTATCACACTCCCCTGAGAAACCTGTGGATCAACCGACAATTTTACCTAAAGCAGGGAGAATACACATTTTTTCAAGATGTGTATTGCATTTTAAAAAAATACGTAGTGGTTTTTTGAAAGATTTTTATTTATTTATTTTTAGAGAGGGGAAGGGAGGGAGAATGAGAGAGAGAAAAACATCAATGTGTGGCTGACTCTTGTGTGGCTCCCACTGGGAACCTGGCCCACAATCTAGGCATGCGCCCTGACTGGGAATTGAACCTGCGACCCTTTGGTTCGTAGCCCTGCACTCAATCCACTGAGCTACGCCAGCCAGGGCTGAATATTTATTTAGTTAGTTAGTTAGTTTTAGAGAGAAAGGAAGAGAAGGAGAAAGAGTGGAAGAGAAACATCAATGTGTGGCTGTCTCTCATGTGTCCCCCACTGGGGACCCGGCCCGCAACCCAGGCATGCACCCTGACTGGGAATTGAACCGGCGACCCCAGGCTTCACAGGCCTGTGCTCAATCCACTGAGCTACACCAGCCAGAGCTGAATATTTTTTTTAAAAACACCACATACCAAGCCAAAAACAAAAGTAGCAACAAATTCCAATGGCTGCATCATTTGCCAAAATATTCTCTCACCATACTACTGCTATACTACAAATACATGGTTTTAAAAGTACCCTCCTCCAAGAAAAACATAAAAATGGAATATAGGGTGGAAATGACAACGAAACTTCCAAAAGGAAAAATGGGCATTAATAGGACAAAAGCCACTTTCTAATGACCTCGTTCCCAGAGCTGTCTGAACCCCATAAAGTATCACTGACCCTAATTTTTTTAAGACTTAATTAATTTGTAGAGAGAGGGGAAGGGAGGGAGAAACATCAATGTGTGGTTGCCCCTTGCAGTCCCCCTACTGGGGACCTGGCCCATGACCCAGGCCTGTGCACCAACTGGGAATCAAAACAGTGACCCTTCGGTTCAGAGGCCAGCGCTCAGTCCACTGAGCCACACCAGCTAAGGCACCCTAATGGTTTTATAAGCCTTTACCCTCAAGACTAGAAAACTACTGCAGGTACCCTGAAGGTGCAAAGGCCCTGGGAAATTACAAAACAAGACATGCCAGACCAGGACAACTGGACCAGACCTTGCACCCAAAGGTAACATTGAAACAAGGTGCAGCCCACCTGAAACATCCTGCTCCACAACCACCTCACTACCTGATAAAGCCCAAAGCCCTACCCCTCAGGGCTGGTGCATATCTCCGCACCTAGCCCTTTCCCTCTCTTGGGAAAATAAAATAAAGCTCTACTCTCCATACTTATTTCTCTGTGAATTCTGTCACAGCCTGCATCACTCACCACCCTAACATACATCATTAATGCACAAATTTGAACATAAGAGAAACAGAAATAAATTATCTAAACACTCAACAAGAAATCAGCCACAGAAAAAGACAGTAGTTCAAGGAAAGAAGATGAAAGAAATGAAAATATAACCTCAACAAGAAAATCATCTCGGCATTGGTTCCTTGAAAATAAAACACAAACATCTGGTACATCCAATGCAGGGGCCTGCAGGGGCCACAAAGAGGAGAAAGAAAATACAGAGACTTCCACCAAGATGGAGGCCTAGGTGGAGATGCTGGGCTTTCTCCCACAACCAAGTTAGAGACAACAAAATATTAGCAACAGAAAACACAGCCAGACCCTGGCTGGTGTAGTTCAGTGGATAAAGCATGGGCCTGAGAAATCAAAGGATCGCGGTTCAATTCCCAGTCAGGGCACATGCCTCGGTTGCAGGCTGCTTCCCTGCAGGCCAGTTTCCAGCAGGGGATGCACAAAAGGCAACCATACATTGATGTTTCTCTCCCTCCCCTCTAAAAATAAATAAATAAATAAATAAATAAAATCTAAAAAAAAAAAGAATCAGATTCTCACACAACAAATTAACTTAAAAAAAGAGAGAGAACACAGAAAATTGAACTTTTCGGAAGTCTGATAACAATGAATGCATCAGCCTGACCGGTAAGAGGGGCGAAACCAGCAGCTGGCAGAGCGGGCTTGCACAGGAAAACTCGGTCAGATGGACTCAGGCACGCGAATCCCAGGCGTGGGGTTGCAAAGGGCCGACCCAGTGAGCGACCAGTGGATCCCGCGAGGGTGAAGGGCAGCAGGTTGACTGTGCTGGTGCATTCCTGCTCAGGTAGACCAGCGAGGGAGTGGGCAGAGAGATGGGACCTAGCGGATCCCAGCCACGGGAGGCAGCAGAGAGAGCCACCATTTCCCAGCTCTGACCCCGCCCTCACATACAGCGTCACAACCCAGTGACCTGAGCAACCCTACCCTGGGGAACATCTAAGGCTTTGCTCCTCACCCAGCGGCGGGAAGCTGGTGAGGGGGACGCCATTTCCACACTCTGACCCCCCGCCACCACATATAGCCTCACAAACCAGTGACCCGCCCAGGAGGCCCCGCCCCACCCCGAAGGCTCAGCTCCTCATGGTTAATGAGCGTGAACAGACCAAAAATGGCTCAAGAAGATCTCAAAGCCCCAGAGCCCATAAATCTAAGTGACGAAGAAATAGCAAAACTTTCAGATGCACAGTTCAAAACACTGGTGGTCAGGATGTTCACAGAACTGGTTGATTTTAGCCACAAATCAGAGGAACATATGAAGGCTAAACTAATTGAAATGAATGGCAATGCACAGGAAACCAATAGTAATGGGAAGGAAACTGGGACTCAAATCAATGGAGTGGACCAGAAGGAGGACAAAAATGACCAACCAGAAAAGAATGAAGAAACAAGAATTCAAAAAAATGAGGAGAGGCTTAGGAACCTCCAGGACATCTTTAAACGCTCCAACATCCAAATTATAGGGGTACCAGAAGGGGGAAAGGCACAGCCGCCAGTGGAAAACTTATTTGAACAAATAATAAAGGAGAATTTCCCCAATCTGGCAAAGGAGATAGACTTCCAGGAAATCCAGGAAGCTCAGAGAGTCCCAAAGAAGCTGGACCCAAGAAGGAACACACCAAGGCACATCATAATTACATTAGCCAAGATTAAAATGAAGGAGAGAATCCTAGAAGCAGCAAGAACTAAGGGGACAGTCACCTACAAAGGAATCCCCATTGGACTGTCAGCTGATTTCTCAAAAGAGACCTTACAGGCAAGAAGGGTCTGGAAAGAGGTATTCCAAGTCATGAAATAAAGACCTACAACCAAGATTGATCTATCCAGCAAAACTTTCATTTAGACTGGAAGGACAGATAAAGTGCTTCTCAGATAAGATCAAATTCAAGGAGTTCATCATCACCAAGCCCTTATTATATGAAATGTTAAAGGGACTTACCTAAGAAAAAGAAGATAAAAAAGATGAACAGTGAAAGGACAGCAAACTCACAGTTATTAACAACTATATCTAAAACAAAAGCAAGCTAAAAGGACAGCTAGATCAGGAGCAGAACCATAGAAATGAAGATCACATGGAGGGTTAGCAACAGGGGAGTGGGAGGAGGGGAAGGGGGGAGAAGGTACAGAAAATAAGTAGCATAGACTGTAGGTACAAAATAGATAGGGGGGAGGGCAAGAATAGTATGGGAAATATAGAATCCAAAGAACCTGAGACCCATGGTCATAAACTAAAGGGGGGAATGGTAAGGGTCGGGGGGTGCAGGATGGAGGGGAATGAAGGGGGGAATAGAACAACTGTAATGGCATAATCAATAAAATAAAAATTTTTTAAAAAGAAAAATAAAGGTAATTCTCTGAAAAACAGAAAAGAGGACTAAGTACATACCACACACAGCAGGGGTTCCCAGTGTGGCCCAAGACCTTGGGTTCTAAGCATTCAAGTCTGTTTCCATACAGTGGAAAAAATAAACACAAGCCATGAGGACTGGAAGAGAACAGATAAAATCACCATTATTTGAGAATGATAAGATCATCACAGAGAAAACCCAGGAGTATCAACCCCTTGTTGGGATGATAAGAGTGTGACAGGACTGCCACAGATGAGGTCAGTACAGAGTAATCAGCACTGCTCTGATATACCTGCAATCAGCAAGCAAAAGCCAGCATTCAACAGCCATAAACACTACTTATACACTATCTGAGAAGGCTAACAAAAAATCTGTAAGCACTTTATGGACAAAATGATAAAAGTTTATTAAAGGACATTAAAAAGATCTGTGGAGAAACAGACAACGGTCATAAACAAGACTCAATATCATAAAAATGTCAACTCTCCCTGAATGAATCTATTAATTCTGTGCAATCAAAACTACATCAGGACAGCCCTGGTTGACGTGGCTCCGTGGATTGAGCACCAGCCTTAGAACCAAAAGGTCTCCAGTTTAATTCCCAGTCAGGGCATATGCCTTGGTTGTGGGCCAGTTCCCTAACTGGGGGCATGTGAGGGACAACTGATCAAGATGTTTCTTTTTCCTTCCCTCCCTCTCTAAAAATATATAAAAAGAATGTTTTGTAAAAAATCACAACAGGACATATTATGAAATCTGACCAAAGTGACTCCAAATATCATAAGAGTATGATCCAAGATTAACCATCGCAATGCCAAAAAAGCAGTAAGGCAGTCAGAGGCATGCCCTCCAGGTATGAGGACTGACTGCAGGCTGTGGGAACATGACAGAATGTGCATTAATGACACACCTGCCACATTAACAGCCAGGTAGTATTCAAGAAACGGTGCTGGCACAACCAGTTTCCGTAGGAAAATCAAGTCACCCCCCTGCCTTCCATAGCATGCAAAAATATATTTCAGGTAGGCTGAAGACCTACTTTTTTTTCAATGTTTATAACTATTATGATAATATATTAAAAAATACATCAACAGAAATGTTCAGTTTTACTTCGTCAAAAAAACTTCGGCCCTGGATGGGGCGGCTCAGTGAGTGAGTGCCAACCTATGAAACAAAGGGCCGGCAGCTGGAGCACACGCCTGGGTCGCAAGCCGAGTCTCCAGCAGGGAGGCAGCCCATCGGTATTTCTCTCCCTCTTTCACTTTCCCATCCCCTCTCTCTAAAAATAAATAAATAAAATCTTTAAAAAAACTTTGGTAGGAGACATGATAAAAATTTAAAAACCAACTGTAAAGTGATAGAATGTTCACAAACATACATAAGAAAGATAAATACAGAAAATAAATTCAAATAAAGAAAACACTATTCAACTTAAAAAATGAACACAGGACAGAACCTGCTAAATTGCAAATAAAGAAATAAATTATCCATAAACATCTGAAAAGATTTTCAATGTCAGTAAAAATTAGGGAAATGCAAATTAAGACCAGACTTCTCTCTCCATTGATTGGGGAAATAACAGTGGTTGAGCAAAAGTAGATATACATACAATTGTTCATATGGAAAATAATACAATGATGAATAAGCATTAATACAAAAATAAGCTGCTTCATGTACGAAAGCTGTAACCCTACTTTACAAAGACTTCACACTGTACAAAGACTTCACAATATCACATGCTGCAAACGTGCAGAAACATGGGGACTCTAAGTCTTGTAGGAAGAGCACAGACCAATCCATCACTCTGCAAACCCATCTGACAATTCCTAGAGGAGCTCAAAGCCTGCAAACCCATCAGGAAACCTAATTCTAGGCATGCGCCCTAATAACACAGGATGACATACAAGAATTCCACCACATGGCTGTCTACAAGGAAAAAAGAAAACCACCTCAATATCTATTATCAGGGAGCAGGCAGGCTGAAACGGATGAACCACATCAGCACACAGATGGAGCATAGCTGTAAGGGTTAGTAAGAATGTCAGACACAGAATATCAATAGTATGACATGTATGTAGATATTTTTAAACATTTTATTTATTTATTTGTAGAGAGAGGGGAAGGGAGGAAGAAAGGGAGAGAAACATGAATATGTGGTTGCTTCTCACATGGGGACACAGCCCACAACCCAAGCATGTGGCCTGACCGGAAATCAAACTGGTGAGCTTTCCATTCGCAGGCCAGCACTCAATGTACTGAGCCACACCAGCCAGGGCGTATGCAGATTTTAAAATACAAAAACACCACTAGATGTGTAGAGGTTTAAGAAAATGTGCCAATAGCAAAACTACCATCAAGAGAGTGAGAAGGTACCTAAGGGACGGGAGAAACCAGCTGCAAACCATCTACCTGATAAAGGAGTGAATCTCCAAAATATATTAGGAACTCACATAGCTGAATTGCAAAAAAACAAATAACCCAATTTAAAAATGAGCAAAATTCCTGAATAGACTGGTCTTCCAAAAACACATGCAAATAACCAACAGGTACATGAAAAGATGCTCAACATCACTAATCATCAGAAAATTGCAAATTTAAACCACAGTGAGCTATCACTTCACACCTGTCAGACTGTCATCAGTAAACCCAGAAACAACATGAGAGTGTGAAGAAAAAGAGTACCCTCATGCACTATTGGTGGGAATGCACACTGGTGCAGCCACTGTAGAAAACAGTATATTAGTTCCTCAAAAAATTAAAAATAAAACTGCCTGATGACCCAGTGATTACACTTTCAGGTATATATTTGAAAGAAATGAAATCTATAGCTTGAATAGATATTTGCACCCCATGCTCACTGAAGCATTATTCACAGGGGCTAAGACATGGGAGTAGCTTAAGTGTCAATCTGATAGATGTTTGGATAAATTGGTCTCTATATACACAATGGAATATTACTCAGCCATAAAAAAAGAAATCTTGCCATTTGCAACAACATGGATGGACCTGGAGGGCATTGTGCTAAATGAGGTAAGCTGGACCCATAAAGACAAATACTGCATGATCCTACCTATAAGTGGAGTCTAAAATTGTCCAAATCCACACTGATTGGTATGGCTCAGTGGGTTGAGTGTCATCCCACAAACTGAAAGGTTGCAGGTTTGATTCCCACTCAGAGCGCATACCTGGGTTGCAGGCCAGGTCCCTGGGTGGGAGCATGCAAGAGACAATCAGTCATGTCTCTTTCTCTCTCTCTCCCTCCCTTCTCCTCTAAAAATAAATAAAGTCTTTTTAAAAAATAAAATAATGTTGTATCCACGAAGTAGAGAGAATGGTGGTTGCCAAGGTTTTGGGGTTGAGAGAATATGGAGAGATGTTAGTTGTGGAGAACTAATTACAGCGAGGTGACAACAGTCAACAGCACTACATGTTACACTTTGACATTTGTGACAAGGTGAGTATTAAGTGTCCTCACCACAAAGAGAAATAAAATGGTAGCTGTGTGGTGGATGTGATTACTTCACAGGGTACCTATACATAAGGACATGAAGCCTTCATATATACAACTGTTTCTCAATCACACCTCAGAAAGCTAGAAAGGCTATCGTTCAAAGCAGGAGCTGCCTGAGGAAGCTGTGCACGAGGACGCTGGGTCTCCAAGCAATTTCATTTGAATAGTTTTGTTAAATAAAAAAGGGAGGGTGGAGCACAGGCTGGTGTAGCTCAGTGGATTGAGTGCTGGCCAGCCAAAGCAAGGGTCGCTGGTTCTGGTTCGATTCCCAGTCAAGCCCTCAGTAGGGGGAGCGAGAGAGGCAACCACAGTTAAGTCTCTCTCCCTCCCCTCCCCTCTCTCTAAAAATAAATAAAATTTTAAAAAAACAAAAAGAAGGGAGGGGGCTTGACCAAACGTGGCAAAAAGTTAACTGGCAACCCCAGTCGTGGGTGTTTGCTAAATCATCCCATTTACTTTAAAGTTTTTGTGAAGTTAAAATATGTAATATATATATATATTAAACGCACAAAACCATGAAGCAAACTAAAGGAGGAAAAGAAACAAATGTGGCTGAGAGAGACCGGCCTGGGACCAACCGGGGAGGGAAGGGGGTGCAGAGCACGGCCTTGGGAACTGCCTGCGGGCGGCACTGGAGGCTCATGGGGGACAATGGGGGCGTGTGGGGAACTGCGGTGGGCAGGTGGTGTGCTCGCATTAAGTGCCCGGAGCTGGAGAGACGAAGTGAGGAAGTATATGCGAAGACCGGGAACCCGGAGGACCTGGTGTGGTACACTGGAGGAGGAGGAATGCTTCCGGAGGGAAAGGTCGGCTACCCTGGGGGCGGGTTGCCTTGGGCGGGGGCAGAGACGCTGGGGGCCCAGGAAGCTGATCTGGGGAGTCAGGTGGGAGGACGCCAAGCCGCGAAGGGGAGGTGCAGCCGCCGGAGGTTCGCGCCCAGGCCAGCCATGGTCCCCGCCCCGCCGCACCCCGCCCAGTCCGTCCCACACTTACCTCAGCGAGGCTCAGAAGCCACCGCCCGACCAGAGACTGCCAGCACCCGTTCCGCCAATCGAAACCAGCCGGGAGTGGCGTTAAGACCCTCCCCGTTACTTCCCGACCGCTCTAGGAAACCTTACATCTCGGTAGCCGGAACCCTCCAGGAACCGGAAATACAGCCCAACAAATTAGGAACGCTGCCACGGTAGTTGGGAGAAAGCAGCCTGGAACCACGAGGTTCAGAATCCAGGGAAGAGCGAGGCTTTGATGACCGATTTCAGACCAACGGATACCAGTAATTTTCAGTGACACCCTCTCTGTAGAGCTGCTAAAGGCATTGCAACTAAGACCAGGGGCAGGTGATACCCATTAAGCGCAGGGGAGGCTTTTCTGGCCAAAGCCAGTTAACCCATGTCCACTCACAGACGAAGGGCTTTCCTTCCACACCTGTTTCTGCAGCAAACCCTCAATGATGGCCAGTCTCCTGGCCATGCAAGGTGCCACTTCACAATATTCATGCTTTTCAGGAAATGTTTTCCCTCCTGACTTGTCTGCCAGTGACTGAGCCTATCCCTATTGGAGCCACTGCCCAGGGCAATTGGGGCAAGGGAAGGCAGGCTGAGAACTGGGTCTGAGGTTGGACCATGAGAACAAAGCCAGATCATCCAGGAGGGGCCCTTGCAATACAGCCTCAGAACCAGAGGTGACCAGCTCTCACACAGGACTCATTGTGGTCCTCTCATGCAGGTAAGTGGTCACCGTGAAGACTCCCAGCCAGTGCCGCCCCCCCCCCCCAATATCAGCACGGTGAGCGCCTACCCGAATGGTTGTCATCTTTGACAGAACTGGAACAAAGTTTGGACAAGGTGCTATCAGCTGTGGCCTAACAGGAAGCCTGTTTGTTTGGAGAAACTCCAGGCCCTCTCATCACAGGACAGTCCCCCTGCTGTCCAACCTGTGGATTCAGAATAGCACCTACCCAAGAGCACAAAACCATGTGTCCTACCCAAGAGCAGCCACACCCTCTTCTAGATTCTCTCAAACACAGGTGTGGGTTTCTCTGCTCCGTGTGCTGTGTGCTGGTGGGGTTCCAGGAACTAAAGTGTGAAGGGACCTAGCACCCCCACCACCTCTGGAGAGCAGCAGCCCTCCCACAGGACCCTTCCCTCTGCAACCACAGGCAGAAACTGCTTTGTGGCAGAAGGACAAACTTTATTGAGCCCCCAAGCCCTAGTTCTCTTTCTCCTGCACAGTCTTGGTTCCCCGCAGACGCCCAGTCCGGCGGGCAGCAATGAGACCCACTTTGCGTCCAGCAGGAGCATCTCTGCGTATGGTGGAAGGTTTGCCGATGTGCTGGTGGTTGCCACCTCCAAATGGATGTTCCACAGGCTGCAGGCAGAGGAAGGAGGCATTAATGTGGAGGTGGCCCCAACCTACCTCAGGAGGGGTGAGGAAGGGCAGAATCAACAAGACTGTGCCTATGAACCGTCACCCAGAGGTTCACACCAGATACCCCACCAGAGATTTTCCAGAAAAGGGCCCATCCAGTCTCATGATCCCTGTATCTGGAAAACCTGGCTGCCTATTTCTGGGCTACTTACGTTCATGGCCACACCCCGCACACGTGGCCAGCAGTTCCTCTTTGCCTTATACTTGTGGTAGGCTCGGCCGGCCTTCAGAATGGGCTTGTCAATGCGGCCACCTCCAGCCACCACACCTGTTAGAAAGATCAGGCGCTTCAGAAAGGTGCTTCCTACTCTCTCATCAGACAGAATATACCCTGCTGGGTCCCGTCACCACCCCACCACCTGCACTAATCACACTCACTCTGTAGTGTCATCACAAAGTTCACAGAAGCCCCATTAACACTGTGCAATGGCCACCCAGCATTTAACACCTTTGCAGCCTGTCACTTGACAGAAAGCTTCTTCAGGCTCTGTGGAGTGCCAAGCCGGGCCTTTGCCCACATCATCTGGAATTCCTATCTCAATCCTGAGTTCTCCAGGGAAGCCCTTCAATGTGTCTGACATGGGGCAGGTCACTCAGCCTCGGGACCCCAACCCCAATATGATGGCTAACCCACCCTCCCACATCTCAGCCAGTTTTGCTTATTCTGCGAACATACCCACAAAAGACTCTCCCACGCAGGGCTGGGTTTGCCACAGAACTGGAAGGTGTTACCAAACAGCACAGTAAACAAACCTGAGTACAAATCTTACTTACTAGATGATTTTAAGGAAATTGTTCATCTCTGAAAAGGTAGTTAACAAGTAGGTATAGGGCAGAAGTCACTCAAGTCTAGGTTATGTGAAACTATACACAAGTTCCAGGCAGTTAAGCCCAGTCTCCTTCAACTCCCAACCAGCAATGAAGTAGGTACAGGTACCACTGTGCCCACTTTACAAATATTAAAATGCACAGGCTATGTGCACGCTAAAGTTTACAGAGCCTACTCTAATGGAGTGAGCACTTAGGTTCCAGAGCCCAGGTCTACTTGCTGGCTGTTCACAAGCCACCCGCAGCATTCAACTGCTGCCAATCACTCACCAACCACAGCTCTGTTGGCAGAGGAAATGACCTTCTTGGAGCCTGAAGGCAGCTTGACTCGTGTCTTTTTGGTCTCGGGGTTGTGGGAGATGACGGTAGCATAGTTCCCAGAGGCTCGGGCCAGCTTGCCCCGGTCACCGGGCTTCTCCTCCAGACAACACACGATGGTGCCCTCAGGCATGGTGCCCACCGGGAGCACATTGCCAATGTTCAGCTGAGCTGCAAGGACAAGCAGACCATTCAAGTCAGCATGGGGAGGTGGTGTCTTAAGGACTGATAACCACAGGCACAGTAAACCCACCAGCTCTGCACAGCACTCCAAAATAGTCACAACACCCCTTCATTCCCCGGGCACCCGCTGGCAACGTTCAGTCCAGCAGGACTCACCAAGTGAGCCTTCCTCCTGGATGCCTCCCCTGCCCGACTTGGGGTGTGTACCTCTTCATGAAACCCCGTCCTCCCATCGCAAACACAAGCGGCGCGCACCCTTCTTGCCGCAGTACACGAACTGGCCGGTGTGGATGCCTTCGGCTGCGATGAACAATTCCGTCCGCTTTTTAAACCGGTACGGATCCCTGAAGACCACCTTGGCGAGGGGCGCACCGCGGCCTGGATCGTGGATGATGTCCTGTGGACCGAGGCAGAGTGAGCGTGGAGTCCCGGCAGGGCGCCCCGCACCCCCACCCGTCCCAACCAGCGCCCCGCACCTTCACGATGCCCTTAATATAGCCGTGGCGCTCTGCGAAGTCAACGGCGCGCAGACGCGCGGCGCCCTTGCGGTGTTTCACGTGCGCTCGGAACACGGAGCCGGCGCCCTTCCTCTGCCCACGAATAACGCGGCCCATGACGGCAGTCTGGAGGAAGCTTATGGTCAACGCCGAAGGACCCCAGGTACTCCCGCCGCCCGGCTTCAGGGTCCCCTTTCCCCAGGATCCTCCCTCCAACCCCCACCCCCTCCTCGCCCCCATTCCCGAACTGCATCCTCTCAGAAACTATCCTGAGCTCTCTGTGAACCCAGGGTGGCGGATGGCGGCGGATGACACCGGATGACACTGGGACCGCCACGCCACAATCACAACCTACCTGCTGCCCAGCGCGGCCGAAAGAGAGTAGGCGGGCCCAGGAACTGCCTTATCTTCCGGGGCCCCGCTGAAAGCCACTTTCACTTCCGGGAAGGCGCCGCGGCCGCGAGCACAGTGCACGCCGGGACTTGTAGTCCTCCCCTGTCGCCGGGGACTGCGCTGCAGCCCTATGATGGCCGCGTCGCGAGAGTCCAGAATGTCTAGCCTGCGGGCTGCTCTTCCTTGGTCGGGTCGTCCTGAGGGCGGAGCCTAGAGGGTGGGTTTGCAACCATTTAAAAACCATTCTTGGCCCTAGCCAGGTTGCTCAGTTGGTCGGGGCATCATCCCGATTCGCAGAGACTGTGGGTTTGATCTCTGGTCAAGGCACAAACGAGAATCAACTAATGAATGCATAAATTAAGTAGAACAGCAAATCCATCTTTTTCTCTCTCCTTTTCTCTCTAAAATCAATGACATTTTTTAAAGTGTTATTTAAAAAAAAATTTTTATTTATATTTTCAGAGAAGGGAAAGGGGCCAGGAAGAGAGGGAGAGAAACATCAATGTGCGGTTGCCTCTGGAGCACACCCTACTGGGGATCTGGCCTGCAACCCAGGCATGCGCAATGAGAATTGAACCAGTGACTCTTTGGTTCACAGGTCGGCACTCAAGCCACTGAGCCACACCTGCCAGGGCTAAAAAAGTGTGGGTTTTTTTCCAGTGTCTGTTGTCACAGGGAGCCTTGGGATGCTTGTGCAGAGCTGAGGGTGCAAGGGAGGCAGCCCTGGGAGAACCAGCCAGTCGGTGTTCGTTTGCCGCCCCTGAGCCTCACACCTGCAAGCATCTGAGTGCACCTGCTCCAGAGCAGCAGGTGGTGGCTGACCAGCCCCCCTGCATCCATGTCTTCTATGGAGAACTGTCAGACCAAAGTTTCAGCTACATTAGCACTGCTCTTGATATTGTCTGTCCTGTCACTCTGAACAGAAACCTGATGTTTTGTTATCATGTCTACTGTTCCATTCTTTTTCACCCAGCACTGTTTTAATCTGACTAACGACTTATTTCTTGGTTCCAAAAGTAGAACTACAAGCAGATCCCGCCCCCCATAATCTGGTGGCCCCTCCCTAAGTACATGCTCTCCCCTGATAGGAGTAAACAAGAATTATTGTGGTAACTTACCCCTCCTAGCAGTGGAGGGAGTATGTATTGAGGAGTGAGGGCAGATCTTGCCCTAAGATGCCCATCTTCTAAGATGCTCTGTTGCTTTGTCAGGGTAAGGAGGACAACATCTCTGTCAGCAGAGCCAGCAGCAATGGTGCAGACAGGTCCTCCCTACAGACTGCCCTGGACAACATCCCAATGGAGGCTGGCTGGTTGTGGTGTGGTTCTGCTCTTCTGTGCATTTGCAGCAAACTGACCCATCAAGCCTCCCAGATCACCCTCTGTAGCCCTTTATACCCTCACATGCTACAAAGGCTCTCCTGCAAAATGTCACCTCACAGCGTGACTGTGGGCTTACTGTTAACTGATGCCTAAAGGGGTCATAACTTAACACAGTGGCAGCAACTTAGGAAGCTCAAGCCCCACAGAAAAGGATGCCTCAGAGACCTCCGCCCAAACACAGGAGGTCAAGTATCTGTCCAGGCAGCGGCGTGCACCCGGTTCAATCAAGATTGTATGTATTGGTTGTTAAATAATTTTTCCCCAAACAAAGAGGCAACACACATTTGTAAATAAATAATAAGTCTTGGAAAAATCATAAAGATAGAAGAAAAATAAGAAGCACCCATAATTCTAGGACCCAGAAAGAAACTAGGGTTAATGTGCTGGAGTATGTGCTCCCAAGCTTATTTCTCTGCTTACAGTCCGTTTAATGTAGTGATGCAGCAAGAACATTTTCTTTCCTTATTAAAAAAGATTTTATTTATTTATTTATTTATTTTTAAAGAGAGGAGAAGGAGGCAGAGAGGGAGAGAAACATCGTTTGGTTGCCTCTCCTGTGCCCACAACTGGGGACCTGGCCAGCAACCCAGGCATGTTGTTGGGAAACTAAACCCAGGGGAATCTAAACAGTAATCTTTCAGTTCCCAGGTTAGCGCTCAGTCCGCTGAGCCACACCAGCCAGAGCCCTGGACGGGACAAGGCTTCAGGGTCCAGGAGATTCCAGGTCCCTGGCCTCAATCCCTTTTCCACAGTCCAATTTCCTGTTGAGGCTTCCATTGGCCAAAACCAACTACAAGCCAGTAGCCCTGGAGACAGGGTGCAGGGGTTGGAGAGGAGCAGCTGGGAGGAGCAAATGGGAGCAGGAGACAGCCCCCTCGCCTGACCAATGAGCTGTTTGTCACGCTGCTCGCTGTGCTCTCATTCACTTGGAACTGCTCCTCTCACACTTGCGTACCTGAACGGTAGCCCTTGCCCTGATGTTCTCCCCATGTTCCTCAAGTTCTGCACTGCCTGTGGGGCTGGATCGAGCCTTCGTGTTCCTTTCACGCCCACGGCCGCCCGCCAGGCCACCTGGTGCTGTCCTTGGTGCTGAACCCCTCCAGGCCACCCCATCCCTCGCTCCGCCCATACCTGTGGGCTACCGTTGACTAGTCCACAGTGAACAGGAATTCGGTGATTCTGTGACAAGGGTGAGTGCAGATAACTGACCCTACGTTTTCCTTGTACTGATACGCGGTCTTGGGAGAGCGGAGGTCTCAACTCAAGCTGCAGGCAGGAGGGAAGAGCCCTGGGGACTCAGCATCACCTGCCGCACCACCCCCCTTGCTCTGTCACCTGCGAGGCTGATTGTGGTGCAGCCACACTCCGCACGCCCTCCTCGCCTTTCTCTACCTGTGAATTCCAGTGATGGATTTAGGAACCTGTAGCTGACAGACAAGCTGTGCAGCTGTGCTGCGGACACACACGAAGTCTTCTGGGTTTCATTACATCTGAATATCCTGGACATTATGTCCCACTAACCATGTTCCTGGACACCTCCCCATAATATGATCAAATAGGTGACAAAGAATGACGACTGTCTCAATTCCCAGACTTTCTGTCCTGTCCTGCAGTGGTGTTCCTACTTCATCACTCTTCGTCCTTGGGAAGAGCTCCTGCTTTGCTAAGGAGGTCCCCCACCTGGGATCGACCTCGTGGTCCTGCACCAAAACAAACAGAAGCTCCAAACTTTTAGACCTGCCTCCACCCAGTTACTTGTACAGGCTCACAGTGTTTGGAGTTGCTCTCTCTTCAACAGTGGAGAATTTCACTCAAATTTCTTATGTCTGTGATTTTGAAAGTTCTCAAGTTGTCCTCAGTTTGAAATAATAGAAAAAAAGAAAGCAAAAGAGAGGTTAGGGATTATAGGTGGTAACATGGACCACAGGAAGGCTGAATTCTAAGACAATGCATTGTGACCAAGGGATCAGCCTCTGCAGAAGGGATGGGAATGATCTGAAGACCCAGAGGGTCACCTGTGGGGGTAGGTGAGGGCACAGTGATTTGAATCCAGGTCCTGTGGAAGAAATTCTAGTCCTACCACCTTGTAATCTGAGTGCTGTGCCCCTCATCTCATGGGACTGTTGAGGAAAAATATGCCACACAGAAAAGTTCATTCCATCAATAGGGCTATTCTTACTATATGGACCTGTGGGGAGCTGATAAAGGTGCAGAGAGAAGCATCAGTTTGCTGTTTCACTTATTTATGCATTCATCGGTCAATTCTTTTATGTGCCCTGACCAGGGATTGAACCTGCAACATTGGTGTATCAGGATGACATTCTAACCAACTGAGTTACCCAGCCAGGGCTTCCCAATTTTTTTATTGTGGTAAAATACACATAACATTATACTGAGTATCTTAACCAATTTTAAGTGTACACTTTGGTGGTACTAAGTACATTTATATTGGTAGTGTAACCATCAATACAAATAACTTATAGAACCCTTTTCTTTTTCCAGGTTTTACTTATTTATTTTTAGAGAGAAAGAATAGAGGGAGGAAGAAAGGGAGAGAAACATTGAATGGCCCCAACTGGGGACCTGGCCCACAACCCAGGCATGTGCCCTGGCCAGGAATCAAACCAGAGTCCTTTCTATTCACAGGCCAGTGTTCAGTTACTGAGCCATATCAGCCAGGGCTACAATTCTTCTCACCTTGCAAAACTGAAACTCTGTCCACATTAAAAAATAACTCCCCATTTCCCCCTCTCCCAGCTCCTGGCAACAACCCTCCTATTCTCTGTCTCTATAGCTTTGACTGCTCCAGATACCTCATATAAGTGGAATCATACAGTATTTGACTTTTTGTGACTGTCTTATTTCACTCAGCATAATGCCCCTCAAGGTTCATCCATGTTGTAGCATGTGACAGAATTTTTTTTTTAAACAGTCTATTTTAGTGCACTTTCCTTCCAGGGAGCACGCCCAGGCCTTTCCCTTAACCCTCTTCTTTCCTCTCAAGAATGCATCACCTAAATTCTAGGACCCCACAAGACTTGTAACTAGAGGAACAATGGGCAGCAAAAGTTCGTGCAGGTCTAACCCCCTGCTGACTCCAAGACCCCCTTTTCTCTGGCTTTCCAGTTAGCCAAAGCAGCCCCGCCAAGTTTCTATCCTGTTGCTTCTTCCTTGTTTCACTGTCTCCAGCTTTAATAAATGTACTCTGAGAAAAAAAAAAAACCCACTCCATTTCATTCTCCTTAAACCAAAGAGTAGAATGAGTCTTTGAGTGTAAGAGAATGTGTTTTCCTGGGCTCCGTCTTCCCCTGGATTCCGACCCCGCTCCATTCCAAGGGCTCCGGCCCCGCCCCCATAGGCGAAGGCCCCAGCCCCTTCCCAGGGCTTTGTCCTCCTAGGCGGGGGCCCCGCCCCTCTTCATAGTTATACTCCGCCCCCCAGGCTGTGTCCTTTCCCCTCAGTTTAGTCCCGCCCCTTCTCGGGTGCCTCGGTTCCGGCTGGGAACCACCGAGACAGCGAGCCTCCAAGCCGCCCAGAAGAGCCGGAAGTCTGTGGGACAGAGGGGGTGCGGGTGTCGAGGCCGGTCTTCTGCGGCGTCGGGCGATTGGAGCCTCCGGCGGTCCTTAGGGAGGGTGAGGCAACACGGCGGTCGCACCCTCACTCGGAACGCCCTCGGTGGACCCCCGAGTCTTCCAGTCTACAGGCCGTGCGGGCCTCGCGCTCTCCCGGCCTTTAGGCTAGGAAGCTCGAGAGAAGCGGTCGGCTTGGAGGGGCCGTGAGGGTGGTGGAGCCGCGGCCGCCTTGCCCGCGGAGGCGGGAGGCGTTTCGACGAGTCCCGCAGCCTCTAGCGCAGCCTTCCCACCAGCTGGCTCCAGGGGGATCTTGGGTCTTCTTCCTGAATAACCATCCTCGTCGAGGGTCCTCTTTCCCTCCATTTACGGCCCTGGAAGATCTAGACTTAGTGACAGTGGCTGAAAGGGCTGTGCCTTGCGTGGGTAAGACTTCTCAGAATTCTGGCTGCTGCTTAGGGCCTACCCCTCTTGTGGCGGGGACCAGGATCCAGCGCTGGCAGCTGCCTTCTTCCGGTAAGGCCCAGGTGGGGGCCCACCCGACAGTGGTCATTTCTGCCCCGTCAGCCTTAGTGTGCACACGGTCTGGGGCGTCCGCCTACCTACAAGCCACTTTCTGACCCAAAAGCTCCACTGGAAGCCCAGTCCTCATTCAGACGTGTCAGGCGCACATAGGGGAGGGAGCCAAGTGTATGTAAGGGGATTCCTGTATCCATTCCTCTTTTCCCAAAGGTTCATTGTTAGGGTCCTGACTACTCCATCTCCAGTCACATGCTTTTTGCTGCCTGTGATCCAGCCCCTTTGCATATGCTGTACCTGCTGCCAGGAGTGCCTTCCCCACCTCCACCTTCTTGGTCTAATTAGCTCCTAGGGGAAGTGACCCAACAGACTGAGTCAGGGTTTCCTAGTTTAAATGCTTTCAGAGTTCCTTGTGCTTTAGTGCCATTATGGCTGTAATTCTGCATTTATTTGTGTCTATTTAACTTTTTCCTCCACTAGACTGCTTCATGAAGGCGGAGTCCTTGTGCATTATTCACGCCACATCCCGTTGCTTTGCTCAAGCCCGTATAGCAACCATCCTTTAAGTGTTCCTGGGGTAACTCACAGCCACCACACACACTGAGAAATGACCAAAGCCTTGAGGGCAGATGCTCAAGTGCTGTGGCAGCTTTGATTCCGCCCAGTATTCCTGCTGGAGACTATTTGGAGGCAGAGGTAAAGGACAGGAGAACACTGTACTCTCTGGACCAGCCTGGGAGTCAGGGGTGGGGAGCTTCCAGGATCCTGACCTCTGACCCATTCTTAACTGTCAACAGGTCTCCCGGCCAGGACCCATGGATACTCACCCACGGAGCCTCATGGTAGGAGTCTCACTCCCCTCCATTTCATCACTTGTGCTGTGAGGGCCCTGCTGCCTCTTCTGGGTTCCCACCCTGCCCACTGGGTCTGGGCTTAGACTCTGCCTCAGCCTCCCACCGTGGCCCTTGTCAGACTCAGGCGTGCCCATTCCCAAAGTAGTGAGCAAACATTCGCCCAGACTGAGGCCTGCCTGTTCTGAGGCTCTCAAGGGGAGGGCTGTAGATATCCAGGGTCTGGGTCCCTCTCTCCCTCCCTCTCACCCTTCCTCTTGATTTTAGAGCGAAAGGGGCCTGGTGACTGTCTCAGTCAATCCTGTGGTGCATGTACTTGAGACACCACGAGGTGGTGCCAGATTGGGCCTGGCACCCAGGGCTCCCTGAGGTGCTGGTGTGTGTTCTTTCAGGAGGCTGTGACGTTTGGTGATGTGGCTGTGCACTTCTCAAGGGAGGAGTGGCAGTGTCTGGATCCTAGCCAGAGGGCCCTCTACAAGGAAGTGATGCTGGAGAACCACAGCAGTGTGGCTGGACTAGGTGAGGCTGTAGCTTGGGACCCGCCCCCTGCGTCATTGGTCAGCACCCACCTAGCCATGTCTCTGTGAGAGCTGGGGATATGGAGGCAATGTGGTCAGGCCCTGACCCCATTGGGACAAGTCATTGTGACCCAGGCAGGCTCCCAGTTTCATCCTCACAGGGAGCGTGGACTTCTGGGAGGTAATAAAGCCTCATTGTTATAAGAGTTAGAGTCCACAGTAGAAATAGGTGTTTCACTATCTTTTTTAGCTTTGGTAGGAGTTTAGATATATAGAATTAATGGAACCTTTCGAATATTTGGTTTAGCTCCCTGTAAAGCTCCTGGGCCCCAGGGGAAGCCCGTACTTTTTGTTCATGCTTGATGGCCTCACAAGCCTCGTGCCGCTTCTGTCATTTCTAGTTCTTCTACAAGTCAGTCTATTGATTTAGATACTCAGTTTTTAGCATGTGTTTGTTCGTAATATTCTTCGTTTTTATTTTTAATCTCTGATGTTGCAGCTATTCCCTTATGTGAGTTTTTCGAAGTACCTTGATCAGTTTTACCCAGGATTGCTTATTCATCTTTCCAAAGAGCCAGCTTCTGGCTTCGTTCAATTTTTGGAGATGGTGTTTATGTGTGTGTGTGTGGGGGGGGTCCTTGTTTTCTATTACATTGAATCCTGCCCTGCCTTTATTATTTCCTTCCTTTGTGCTTATATTTGCTGTGTTGTTTTGTTCTCAACTTACTGAATTTAATGTTTAGCTCATTTGTTTCTTACGGTTTTCATTTCTAGTAAATGTGTTTAAAGATATGTTTAAGTACTGCTTCTGTTGCATCCTACACATTTTGACTCAGTAAATACAGTTGCCAGTGTAGTATCTCCTTACTGAATTCCCAAGGGGCAAAAAGTTTTGAACTGCCTGTTGTGGTAACTTTCACGTTGTGTTGCATTTTGGTTCTGTGTTCTGAGGCGCTGTGGCCTGCATCATGACCCGTTCCTGGCTGGCCCACGGATGTTTCTCTGAATGTTCCACATGTGCTTGGAGACAGCGTGTTTCAGTGTGGGGTCCTGCTTGAACCTGAGGCCTTTGACTTGGGATCTCTGTGCCTGCCCTTCTCCACCCCCATGGCCAGAAACCTGAGGGAAGCTCCAACCACAGGGCCCTGGGAAGGGTTGGGAGCTCACCACACTGTTGCCCCATAGCCTGGGGCTGGTGGCCCCAGAATGGGGTGCTGGGTGAGCACCCACAGGCCTCTACCACTCCCCGGGCTGCCTGGGCTCCCTTGCTTTGTGAAAGGGTGTAAGACTGGGGGCCACCAGGTAATGATTGGATTTTAGTGCCTTCTGACTTAAAACCTGTTTCATTTGTTTGTTTATTTTTGTTCTTCCATTTTGTTTCTTTTAAAGATTTTTTATTTACTCATTTCAGAGAGACAAAGGAGGGGAGAGGGAGAGAGAAAAACATTGATTTGTTGTTTCACTTACTGATGCACTCACTGGTTATTCTTGTATGTGCCGTGACTGGGAATCAACCCACAACCTTGGTGTATCGGGACAAGGTTCTCACGAAGTGAGCTACCAGGCCAGGGTTTTTTTTTTTTTTTTTTTTTTAAATGACAGTTAATTTGAGCCAAGCTGATGACATATGCTGGGAAGCAAGATTTCAAATGTCCTTGTCTTATTTCTTAACCCCTATCTTTTGGACTGTACCTGAACTGAGAGGTGCACGGGCCGTGCCTGGCTTTTGTCTTCCTGGGGTAGAGCAGCCTGTTCTGGGCAAACTGTTGGGTGACAAGGTGTCCTGGGGCCTTGAAGCAGAAGGGAATCAGAAGGGAGTCCAGGCACCACTCAGTGTCCAGCCCCTAGAGCTGGGCTAAACCAGACCAGACAGAGAGAGCCCCTGTGCCCCTGTGCTCAGACCCTCACCCTGTGATGCTCCTTTCACAGACCCTCCCTGTGCCCCAGCGGCCCCCTACCCCTTTACTTTTGGAATCCAGGGGGCACTGAGCCCTGAGCTATGATCCCAGTAATGCCAATGTGCTTTCCTTTGTCAACTTGACAGCAGGATTTCTGCTCTTCAAGCCTGAGCTGATCTCCCGGCTGGAGCAGGGGGAGGAGCCATGGGTCCTTGACCTGCAGGGAACTGAGGGGAGAGAGCTGCTAAGGACGCCCCAGACAGGTGAGGCCTGTGGCAGAGAACTTGTGCCTGGGGAGGTAGGCTCCAGGGTTCGGTATGCAAGTTTGATTTGAAACCACATTTTATTCAGTTTCTAGTCTTAACAATACCCTTATCAGTCAGACATGGGTGCAAGGAAAGCAGTAAACTTGGTTCTGAGCAGCCTTCCAGGGACAGTTGCACTCCCTCCAGAACTTCTCAGGGCCCTGGGTGACCCCAGCTTCTGAGATCCAGCTCTGGGGCTGCTGTGACGAAGCATCACAGGCTGGAGGCCAGAGGCCCAAACTCAAGGCATTGGCAGTGTTGAGTCCTGTCTGAAATCTGTAGGGAAGGCCCTTTCCTGCCTCTTCCAGGTTCTGGTGGCCCCGGGTGTTCTTTGGGTATGGCCACACCACCTCAGTCCTCTGTCATCACAGTGCACTCTCCCCATGTCTCTCTTTCTGAGGACACCACTCACATTGGGTGAGAGCCCTGCATACCTTAGTGTGACCTCATCAACTCCATCTGCACGGTCCTGTCTGTAAGTAAGTTCATGTTTTGAGATCCTGGGCTGGAGCTTCAGCTCACCTTTTGGGGCACAGTCAGACCAAAGCAGGGACCTTCCATTTAGGCCCCTTTCTTACCCTTCTGGGAAGAAGTAAAGGGACAGACCAGCCTGCTTAAAACCCAGCCCCCAGTAAACATTTCCAAGGAGGGGGAGATTTCAAAGAGGGCACCATGGCAGGAGAGCCAGCTGGAGTGGGCCGAGCTCCTTAGTGGTTCCCATGCAGCATTCCTGGTGGTTAGGTGACAGGAAGGCAGCCCTGCAGTGAGACCTGGACCTACTTTGTGGGCCTGAGCACACAGGACAGCCTTGTGGATGAAAATTTGTGGAACATGTTAGAAAGTGTAGTTGCCCGAGATGTGATTTTGTCAGTTTGTGCAGTTGATATCCCAGGATCCTCCACAGGGCCTGCAGTTACCCCGACACTACCACTCCTGCCCCAGGACTTGAGGCCCCCTGGGGGCTCCGTGGGATGAGCCATAGTTGCTGTGGTAGGGCCAGAATTCAGTTGGAGTGAGGACTACAGTAGGTCAGAGTTCACCGAGCACTAACCCAGCTTCCACTTGCCCCTTGGTGATAGAGCAGGCAGGGGCTTGATGGAGCCCAGAAGAGGAGAGGCAGGTCCATCTGATACCACCTGAGCTTCTTGACCAGCCCTGCCCTTGCTCATGGGTGGAACATGCATCCTCCAGTTTTCCCAGGCAGGTGCTTGAAGGCAGGGTGGGGTCATCCTATGGGTGTGGCCTTGAGCTATTAGAAGCCACATTAGTGTTTTCTCCGTGCAGACCCAGGGAGAGGCCAGATTGAGCAAGGCTCAGAGAAGCTTGGCTGGGCTGTTAGGACAGGGTCTTTGTCAGAGGAGTGGTCCCTAGTAAGTGGGGACAGGAAGAGATGGGCTGTGCTATGTGTGGGTGTCACATGGGCCTGAAGGGAGGGAGCATGTGCACTCTGAGCCAGACAGGAGGCTGATGGCTGTGGAAGGCTGGTGCTGGGGACGTGGCAAGACCTTCATAATGTAACTGCCATTTACAGGCTTGGCTATAGGGGAGAGGGAGGTGGACTCTAGAGCAGCTGGTTTGCAGTGTGGCTGTGGCTGCTTAAAGCACAGCAGGAGGCCCAGGGCTCATGGCTGGGCTGGCAGTGCAGCTGTCCCTGGCTGCTCTTCATGGCTGTACTTCCTTCACAGCTGTTCGTAGGGGCCTCTGCTCTGAAGCAGCCGGCAGACGGCAGCAGTGCTTTTCTGTTTTCTATCTCTGTGGCTGCTCTTGCCGTGTTGAAGGAGCAGGTTTGCCAAGGTTGTGTTTGTTCAGAGAAAGAGAAACAGTGAGGACCAGGCGGGAGATGTCCCACATCTTAAGGGCACAGAGATGTTGAAAGGGTATGTGTTTGGGGGAACAGTACTTGATCCATTCCTGTGTTTCATTAGCTATGTGACCGTGGGTGAGTGACGTAACCTTTCTGAGCCATGAGTCCCTTATCCACTATTGACCCCATTGGGTTATTGTGAAGACCGATGGCAGGAGGGAGCAGGAGCTGTCCTTGTGCACAGATGTCTGTGTGCGGCAGCCTCTTCCGTGTACTGGTACTGACAGAGATGTAGGTTGCTGCAGCTGGGTGGAGATAGCACTGGTGTGAGGAGCCAGCTGAGCCCTGTCACTGGGCCCTGGTGTGGGACAGCAGTAGGATAATTATGGCCCTGGATATGATTAGGGACAACAGGGTCTGACTTCAGCAAAGGCACTTCCTGGGATTGCAGAGTAGGAAGGAGGCTGACACTTACGTGGAGAATCCAGAGGGAAAGTGGATGTCAGAAAGGCCTTGTAGGGGCAGACAGTGTAGGCAGAACGCCCAGAAACACATAGGAAGGAGATGTCCATATGGGGAAGGTGAGGAGCAGACTGACAAGGGACAGGATCAGGTGTGGTTTGCAAGGAGTGGCCTGTTGGCTGCTGGAGGAAGCAAAGTTCAGTCCTTGGGTCTTGCTCAAAAACCCACCCAGGAGACAGGCCAGTGCCCAGCCCTTCCGGCTCACCCTTGTATGACCCTTAATAGCTCTCCTGCCTTGACTTTTTTAGTACCTGCTCATCCCTCTGCTTATAGTTTAAACTCCCTCTTTCTTTCTTACACTCCACCTCCTTTGACCTCTCAGGCTAATCCTGCCTTTCACAAAACCCCCACCATCTCAGGTTCACTTTCTTTTTTGTGGACTTCCTCACAGTTTCCCCACACGATGAACCTCTGCTAATGTAGCCCCCTTGTGGGAGGGTGGCTGTTACCACTCACCCGAGTACACTGGTTGAACCAAAAAGTATGAAGGAAACCAAATTTTGAGAACTGTCAAAGGCATCAACTTTCTGTGGCGTCTTTGCATGTGGGGTGGCCTGGGAGGGAGCTCAGTTCCTAGGGAGGACCTCCACCCCAGATTTTGTCCTTTGTCTGAGTTCAGGAGAAAGAGCCTTATTCTTCCCGTGTGTTTCAGATTCTGCAATTAGCACTGTTGGTGGGCAGGCCCATGAGGATGTATACATACTGAAATCAGAGTCCCTGGCAGCAGTGGTCAAAACCCCACCACATGATTCTCCTCCGAGTCCCTGCTTTGGAGATACTTCTGTTTCTGAGGTCTGGCCGGAGAGTAAACCAAGCTCTCTCTTCCAGAAACACCACTTGCACACAGAGACTGTGGCTGCTAGGAGGATCTCTACCCAGGAGGATGTGCAGGGTTGTGGTGGCATGGGTTTTCAGCCTGATAAAAGTCAGGGGGTTGCTACAGATGGGATATCCCGAAGATGTGATATGTGTGGCAGGGGTTTCATATTCACGACTCTGCTTCACGAAGTTAATACACAGAAGAAACTGAACAGATGTCAGGAATGCCAAGAAACGTTATCTGGTTGTCCACAGGGGAAACATCAAAGTAACTGCTGTGGAGAGAAGCCATATGAGTGTGAGGAATGTGGGAAAGTCTTCAGGTTGTGTTCACAGCTTAATCAGCATCAGAGAATCCACACGGGAGAGAAACCATTCAAATGCATCGAGTGTGGAAAGGCCTTTCGCCTGAGCTCAAAACTTATTCAGCATCAAAGAATTCATACTGGAGAGAAGCCCTACAGGTGTGAGGAGTGTGGGAAAGCCTTTGGTCAGAGCTCCAGCCTCATCCACCATCAGAGGGTACACACGGGAGAGAGGCCCTATGGCTGTCGTGAGTGTGGGAAGGCCTTCAGCCAGCAGTCTCAGCTGGTCAGACACCAGCGGACTCACACTGGAGAGAGGCCCTACCTGTGCCAGGAGTGTGGGAAGGCCTTCAGCCAGAGCTCAACCCTGGCCCAGCACCAGCGGATGCATGCTGGGGCAAAGCCTTCAGTTCCAAGAACACTGGATGGTGCCAGCCTTGTTACTCACCAGAGAACCCATGCTGCAGAAAAACCGTTTAAGTGTGATGAGTGTGGGAAGGCTTTCAGGTGGGTCTCTCGCCTTAGTCAGCATCAGCTAACTCACACTGGAGAGAAACCATATAAATGCAACAAGTGTGCAAAAGCCTTTGGTTGTAGCTCACGGCTTATTCGCCACCAAAGAACTCACACTGGAGAAAAACCATTCAAATGTGATGAGTGTGGTAAGGGTTTTGTTCAGGGCTCACACCTAATTCAGCACCAAAGAATACACACAGGAGAGAAGCCCTATGAGTGTAGTGACTGTGGAAAAGCCTTCAGCCAGAGCTCAAGCCTAATTTACCATCAGAGGATTCACAAAGGGGAAAAGCCCTATGAGTGCCTGGAGTGTGGAAAAGCCTTCAGTATGAGCACACAGCTCACAATCCATCAGAGGGTTCACACTGGGGAGAGGCCCTATAAATGTGGTGAGTGCGGGAAAGCCTTCAGTCAGAACTCAACCCTTTTCCAACACCAGATAATTCATGCTGGAGTGAAGCCCTATGGATGCAGTGAGTGTGGGAAAGCCTTCAGTCGGAGTTCATACCTCATTGAGCACCAGAGGATTCACACACGAGCCCAGTGGTACCATGAATATGGGGGCACCCCGGAGGGTCCTACCCATGTGAGCCGTAAAAAAGTTAACACTGTAAAGAAACTACACAAATGTAATGAATGTGAGAAAATATTCAGATGGCGCTCACATCTAATTATACATCAGAGGATTCACACCGGAGAGAAGCCTTATAAATGCAACAAATGTGGCAAAGCCTTTAATCGGAGCTCCAGGCTCACTCAGCATCAGAAGACTCACATAGAGTAGACCACACACCTCTGTAAATGCACTTGTATGTAAGAGAATAAACCCGTAGCCTTAACATACTTGTTTTATATGGGATCATTGATATTGACAAGTTGGAATGTTGGTAAAGATTTAAAATTGTTCTTTTAAAAAAAGGACATCCAAGTTCATACAAAGTATGTGTTTTATTTGCTAGAGTATTTGACCTTATCCCACTCAGTAAAGCCTATGCCCCTCAAAACAGGGTGCCCACATGTAGAGTTTGAGTACACAGAGGGAAGACCAGGTTCTGTGGCCAAGGCCTAAGAGCCCTGTGAGCTCTGCCATGCGGGATGCTCAGTGTCTTCAGCACCAGTTACTCAGACTGGCTTCAGCAGCAAGGATGTGTGAGCTCGTGTGCACAGAAGTCCAGAAGAGGCGTTACTGCAATTTCCTTCTGCCTTCACCTAAGTCCTTTTCTTCTCGCATCAGCAGCCCCGGCAGGAAGCCACCCAGCATCCAGCTGAGTTTCTAGATGGGTCAGCCACTCTGGTGAATTGGAACAACAGGCTGTGACCATGTCCATTCACTTTGTCTCACAGTATCTAATGAAGGCCCAGGAGCCGTAGGATGATGCAGACCTGCATCATTGACTCCAGCCCTGCCCAGGGTCCTGGACTCACCAGCCGTGAATGAGTCTGGGGCTAGGAGTACCATTCAGAGAGGCTGCTGCCCAGGGCCACCCACTTCAGATTTGCTGACCTTTGGAGTTACTGCTGTAGTCATGGGCGTAATATTTGAGAGACCCCCATCCCAGTGGAGAGGCTCAGTTATCCTACATTTGGACAGGTAGACCAGAGAGCACAGGTCACCTGAGGATCTCTTGTAACACTTGATTTGGGTCACTATCACATTGGTTTGGTTAAGCCCATGGGCAGGGCCCCAGGACTTTGCTGCTTCAATCACTGTACATGGCAGAGACTGTAGCAGGCTATAGATTGTGTGAAGTGAAGGAAATGTTTGCTGATTCCTGTTTGTACCAGAGGGTTCCAGTGCTTTCTTGTAAAGTTGGAAGCAGCAGTTTCAGATGGTTGAATCCATGCGAGTTTGTTTCTCCAATGCGTAGGTGGGGGGTCTTGACCCTGCAACGTTCGTCAGCATGATTGTCAGCTGATGCTGTCTCTCACCTGGTGCCAGGATGGCATGAAGTCAGTGTGCTTACTTCTCTAGTCACTCCTGTTCCACCCAGGACTTATACTTGGAAGGGTCAGCGCCAGAGGACCTGGCACTTCTGTATATTTTTCAGAGGTTATGCTCATTGTCTCCCTGCTTCAGCTGCCGTATTCAACCAGGTGGTCACTGCTGGCACATCTGGACAGGTGGGCCTAGTCCGAAAGGGCCTTAAATATTTTATGACAGCCAACAAGAGCTAAGGTCCTCAGTGGACAGGCCACACTCCTGCCATCTGCTGGCACTTAGCACTGTCACACGCTGGAGGGGCTCTCCATCAGACCCCACTTTCCTTGTTTCCTCCTGAGTAATGAGGGACAAAGGGGTGAAGGGTTTTATGGACTCTTCCAGACTCCACCCTGGGCACAATAATACTCTTTCTTTCCCTGAACGGTAACAATAGGCCAGGCAAGAAGGCAGAGCCTTCCACCTTAAATCTGCTTCAGCACCTGAGTCTCTGGATAGTGTGATCCTGGATCCAGTGCGGTGAACTATATGGCCTGTGGGCCAAACCCAGTCCATGTTCTGCTTTTGTGTGGTGTGTTAACCAGAGAATGAGGACATTAAGAATGGGTGGCTTGAATGCTTCCAGTTTCTGCCAAGCAGACCAGAAGTTCAACCAGTCATCCCTGCAAATGCACCTGTCACAGCCAACTAGACTGCCCAAGTAAGCCAACTGCTTGAGCTGTAGTCAACCAATTTCCATGTTTGCTTCTGTATCTTCATGAAAACCTCTCCCCAGCCCTCCGCAGAGAGCTTGGTTTGGCACTGGTGGATTCCAACCCATGTTTCCTCAAGTAAAGTCTTCAAAATTGTGATGTACCTCAGTTTACCTTTTAGCAGCACTGAGTGGTTTTTACATTTTTAAATGATGGGAACAAAAGACTATTTTGTGACATTTGAAAATTCTATTGAAGTTAAATTTGTGTGTGGTTTGTTTACTTAAATGTTGCAATACAACTGAGAATTCAATAGCATTAACCCCAAGTCCTGCACTTCAGTGGGGAATACCAGCTGCAGTACAGGAAGAGGAGCATCTTAGCTGTGTCCACATGAAAAAGGTGTGCATCACCACTGGGTCACTGGGCAGGACAAAAAGGTTGTGGGCTGCCGTGAGGCCATGTATGTTCAGTAAACTCATTTTCAAGATTTCCAGAACTGTTTCGGAGTAGGTTTTAAAATACTTTTAACTCTTTTGGAGTCAATAAATTAAACCCACAATTTTGACCTGAAATTGCTTCCATTCATGTTTATTAAACTTTGACTTATGACATTGGATGGTAACTGTTTTGAGGTTTCTTGAAGCTTCCTCAAGTGTTGGGAGGGGAAGCAGAGCCCCGGTGGGTTGATACACCGGTGTCCCTGACAGCTCAGGAAATGTTTGTTGAATGAAGGAATGATGCACTGGGGAGTATCCAGGCTTTGAGATCGAGTCAGAGATCCACGGAAGAGGACTAACCACCAAGAGCTTTCACAGAGACCTAAGAAAGTCAACACAACTGTAAGGCAGTTTTCCTGAGAGGTAATTGCATCACTCTTTGTGCAAGGCCCATGTACAAAGGTGGACAAGGCCAGCACCTGCCCCCAACTCTTGGTTCACGGTGACCTACCTACCTACAAGAGGGTAGACAGTTCCTCCACAGCCTGGGGGTCATGTGGGTACACAGGGTGTGCTCACCCCAGCATGGCAAGAACTGGGCCCAGGAAGGTGTTCCCATTAAGAGCTGCCACCCGCCTGCCACCTGGTTTTGTATGGTTCTGGAGCTAAAAGAATGGCTTTTCCCCCCTGGCCAGGTGGTTCAGTTGGTTTGAACATTGTTCCATATACCAAACGTTGGTGGATCTGATACCTGGTCAGGGTACATAATCTAAGTTACAGGTCCCATCCTGGTTGGGGCACATACTGGAGGCAACCAATCAATGTATCTTGCACATAGATGTTTCTTCCTTCCTCTAAAAGCAATAAATGTGTCTTTGGACCCGGGCTGGTGTGGCTTAGTGGATTGAGTGCCATCCTTCAAACCAAAGGGTCACCAGTTCAATTCCCAGGCAGGGCATATGCCTGGGTTGCGGGCCAGGCCCCAGTTGGGGGTGTGAGGGGCAACTGAATGATATATCTCTTGCATGTCAATGTTTCTCTTCCTCTCTTCCCATTTCTCTAAGTAAATAAATAAAAATCTTAAAAAAAAAACCCCACACATAGTGGGTGAGGAATTAAAAACCAATGCCAATAATTTTAAGAAAGAAACAGATTTTGTTGTTCCACTTATTTATGTATACATTGGCTGACTGTTGTAGGCACCCTGACTGGGGATTGAACCCACATCCTTGGTTTATTGGGATTTTCTACCCAACTGAACTAGATGGCCAAGGCCAAGAATGGTTTCTATGGTTTACCTTACTTTTTCGAGAGGGGGAGAGAGAGAGGAAGAGGGAAACAACAACGTGTGGTTGCCTCACGCACACCTCCAAAGTGGGGACTTGGCCCACAACCCTGGCACGTGCCCTAGACCAAGAATCAAACCAGCAACCCTTTGATTCGAGGGCCAGTGCTCAACCACTGAGCCACACTAACCAGGATAAGAATGGTTTTTATGTGGTAGCAAACAAGTATTTTGTGACACCTGAAACGAAAATTTCAATGCCTGTGAAAATTTTTTATTGGAACATAATCATGCCCATTTGTTAATATACTGTCTCTGCTCTCAAACTATGGTGTCAGAATTTACAGAATCGTCATGACCTGGAACACTCAAGTACTCATTGTCTGGCCCTGCATGAGAATGCACGTGGGTGAGAGGGCCCACCCTGCTGGCCTGCAAATCTGTACCCTACAGCTGAAAGGGTCCTTCTCAAGTTGGGTTGCAGCTGCCTCCATAAACCTGGAATTTCCATATCAGAAAGTGAAGAGTTCATCCCAGGACTAGGTACAGGTCTGTGCAGCTCTAGGCTGCATGTCAGCTTTGGAGGGAAGGGCTGTCCCAGACTTGCTGTGGGTAGCAATCAGGGACACCACGTCCAGAGCTGTAATTCCTGACCAGATGACAGAAGGAATAGTGCCCTCTGGTGGGCCAGTGGCTAGTGGGTTAGCAGAGCACTATACCCCCACTTACCTGGAACTTGGTGAGGGTAGAGATGGAAGCAGATAACACGTGACCAGAAGATGTGTCTCCGAAGGGCCCAAATCTGTACCCAACCCATCCAGAAGAGTGTGCTGACCCTCCAGGGGTCCTCAGAGTGGATTACCAGAGTAGACACATCAATACAGACATGCAAACAGGCAGGCAACCCTGGCTGGGCACACAAGGAGTCCCTGAGCCTGACTGCCTGCCTGCCTGCCTTCTGCTGCAGGTGCTGCTGAGAGGCTCACAGTGGGTTCTGAGTGACAGCCCCGTCCTCCTCCATCAGGTACCTAACACCTGGGTGGCCTAGAAGGCACCTCTCCTCACTATTACCAGGTGCATGATTTACAACTACGGAGTCCCAGCCACAAGGCCCCTTGGTGGCATTGAAGCTTGGAGCACCCTTCTAGGGTGCACAGGCTGGGCTCCAACCCCAGGTCTCCATTCCTGGTTGCATCAAATGAATGTGATTGTAGTAATTTTGCACACCAGGAGCCCCCAAGTTGCAGTGGCTTTTGACCCTAAATGTGTGTCCTCCCTCTGGAACCAGCAGCCCAAGCTGCCCAAAACACTTACCCTTGTACCAGGAAAGGCCCCTGCTCCCCTCCTGCTCTCAACACAGCACCCAGTATGATCTTTCTAAAACAGCTATCAGGGTGCAGCCTACTCTCAGTGCCCTTCATCTCCCTCTATCTCAGCTGCCCTCCACCAGAAGTGGGCCTCCCTTGACTCTTTCAAGTCCTTGCCCATATACCTGGTCTTCTAGGAGGCCCACCCTATGAACCACTGTGAAATGACAGTGCAGTTCTCCCTTGGCCCTGCCCTCCATCCCTTGGCCTATTTTCTGCTTCACCTACTATCCACTAACAAGCTATACAATTTATTTGTTACATGGTTTATAATGTTTTCCCTTCCCCACTACAGTGTTGGCTCCATGAGGTCAAGGATGTAAGATAGGAGACAGAAATGTCCACACTGAAAAATGGGATTTGCAGAAGCAAATAAGCAGAGTGGTCAGATGCCACATGGAGCCCAGCTAAAAGAACTCAGCATCTGCATCAAGGCACTGGCCTGGACCAAAGGGCTGCCCTGGAGCAGTGGGTACCCACACCTAGCAACAATACCAATGGCCAGGGAACAGGTGTGCAGGGTGACAGCAGTTGGAAAGACATGATTTTACAGTTGCTCTACTTCCAAGCAAAGGAGAGAAACTGCTGTTTTTGCTTTTTTTTTTTTTCATCAAACAGAGAATGACATAGATGCAGTCCCACACTCTCACTGAAGAGTGCCTCCTGGGCAGGGTGGGCTTCACTATGGAGATGTCTGAGCAGCTGTCCCCAGGTGACCAGAGCAACTGGGCACATGGGTCAGTCCTGTAGTTTGTGCTCGCACTTCTTTTCCAGGTCGGCCATCTCCTTCAGCATCAGGGCCACGCTATAGCGAAGCTCCTGGAACTTGGCTGTGGGGACCTCAAAGCGGTATGTTAGCCCATCTGAAAGCACCAGCTGCATCAGGACACTTGGCTGCAAGGAGCGGGCCAGGGCACTGGTGGAGATTGCCACATCCACCCTCCAACGAAAGTAGGCAACATGGGGCAGCCAGGCCCCCTGCTGCCTGGCAACAGAGTCAAGGAGAGGCCGTTGGCTCCCAAATACCACACTAGCCAAGTCCATTATCAGGTCTTGGGGGATGGAGAGCTCCTGGAGCTGATCCTTGAAGGTGTCGGGCTTCAGGCTGGCTGGGGGCAGTCGGAGAGCCTGCTGGAGCAGCGTGTGGGTGCCGGCAAGCAGGGCCCCCAGCCGCTCCTCCGACAGGTGTGCACCAGTCCCAAGCAGCTGCACAGCCTCACGGCAGTCTTCTCCCTGAAAGCTGCTGACCACCAGCTTCAGCAACTTCCTGAATGTGCCCCTGTCCAGGTCCGTCAAGAGCCGAGGCATTGCTGCCACCTCTGGGGGGGGCTGGGCCCCCAGGAAACTCACCTGGCCGCTGTGACTATCACCAGGGTGATGCAGGTATGGAACTGCAGCCCCCACAGCAGACATTGCTACTACTTCCTCCTTTTTGATCAGCCAGCCCAGAGGCAGGTCCCAGATGCAACTGCCTGGAGGAGTGGAGAGAAAGCCCAGTAACTTACCACGTCCTTTGGGCCAGTGACTGAGTACTTTTAACCTTTAAGACACTGATAATGTGAACCACTGATGACAGCCCATGTGATGGGAGGCACCTTGGGAGCAGGGGGTCCCGGGAAGAGGGGAGGCAGGAGTTGGCAGAGGAGACAGGGCAGGGAGAGGAGAACCAGGAAGGAGAGCAGCCACCGGGTCCGGAAAAGAGAGCTGACAGAGGCGGACCCACTTCGAGTCCTGGCCTGGCCGCGGCGCCCTGGACACATAAAGTGCACACCAGTCGCGGCCAGCGCCCTGCGACCCCAGCCCAAGCTGCGCGTGCCGGCGCGTTACTGTCGCCGACAGGTCTCCAGCCTCCAGAGCCCCCAGGTGACCAAGGGGCCGCGTCCAGCTCAGCTGCCTCGCCTCCCGACCTCACCCACAGCGACCCCGGCCCGAGGTACCCCACACCTGCAACGTGTGTTCTGGAGCGGAGCCGAACGGCCTGCTGGCGGAGAGCAAAGGGCCGGCCGGAAGCGGGGCCTGGCCCGGAGACGACTAGAAACACTTCCGGGAAGCTCTAGGATACCGGGAGCACACGGCCGTCTGTGATCCCCGGGCCCAGCGGATTCCCCGATAGGGTATTTTGTTTGTCACAGAAAAGGAAATAAAGAGAGGGTTGTGCAGGCTTGACCCGGGAATAGAGTGGCGCGTGAGGTGGGTCCAACTACGCTGAAACAGCAACGCGGGGCCTGGAACGGAGCGTCGGCAGGCAGCCGAAGTCCAGCTTCCTCCCGGCCGCAGGCCACCAGTCCCCTTCCGCAGAGGGCCTCGCTCTAGGCGACCACCGACGGCAGGAGTCCTCTGAGGTCCTAGAGCGGCCCAGGAAGTGCCTGGCGGAACGGCGTAGCCGTTTCCGGCCCCCTGGGCCGGGCACCGGCAGGAGGCCCTTCTCTGTGCAGTGTAGTCCCGCCTCTTCCGTGTGGCCCCGCCCCCGCCCAGCGGTCCGCTACTCCTAGGTGTGCAGCGTCTCCTCCGCGCTCGCTCCAGGTCCTAGACAGTCGGCCTGCAGCAGGCGGGAGCCAAGAGGGCAGGTTGCCGACCGTGGAAGGTCCGGCCGAGGGGGCGGTTTCGGTAGGAGGCGTGGGCGGGCCCGACGGAGCGTCGAGAGGTTTCGGCCGAGGTCGTGACGGGGTAGGGGGACCGCGCGGAGGTGAAAGGGGAGGCTGCAGGGCGGAAGGTCGGCCCGGACCGGCGTGGGCGCGCGGGAGACGTAACGGGCCGTTGTCTGCATCCTTGGGTGGCCACAGCTCGCGGGCCGCGAGGAGGCCGCAGCGGGGCGTGGGGGGGGGGGTTGTTGGGGAAATGAGGCCCGCAGTTAGGCCTGAGGGCCGGTGAGGATACTGGATGCGACCCAGGGGGCTGAGGGCGAAGGGGTGGGAAAGGCGGCAGGCCCCGGGCTTTGCCGAGGTTAGCTCAGCCTCACCTGCCTCCGTGCAGTCTGCTCGTGCGCCCTGCGGTTGGGGGCTGCTCAGCCTGTGCGAGGTGCGGCTCTCCAGCAGGTGGGTCCGGGCTCTGGACCCTGAGGCTGCCAGCTTTCACTCCGCAGCTCCCGCCCCACCTGGCTCTGGCTCTGCCAGTTCTGGGAACTTTCCGTGTCACTGGGCAGTCGGGCACGCACTGTGTCCTGCTGTAGAGTGACCTGCCTTCGACCGCTACAAGAGGTTGTGCTCATTGCCCCAGAGGCCGCTGCAGGAACCAATGAATGCCACCTGCTTACCTCTCACATCCTTTGGGTCCTGGATGTTAATTACACTGAATGGGTCTGAGTGTGGGTCCCCTCCTTCCAAGGGTGAGCTGGGGGAGGCCCAGGCCAGGTCAGCCCCGCTCAGGTCCTGAGTCTTTCTTCAGATCCTGCTTCCCCAGGATGGCAGCTGCACTTGGGCTTCCAGTGCCCCAGGTGAGTTTACCTTCCTCCCTGCCTTTCATCTTCCGAGGTGGTGAGCCCAGTTTCTGCAGAAGTGAGATGTCCTGGCACCCAAGGACAGGGCTCTGGGATTGGGCTTGGGCTCTTGCCAGGGAGACAGACTCCGGGGTCTCAGTCTGGGCCCACTGGCCCAAGACAGGCTTGTTCACTGGCTGAGCGAAGCATGTCTGCCCAGTGGGCGCAGCCTCGGGGCAGCGGCCACCTGTCGTTTCAGGAGGCAGTGCCACTGACTTTCCAGGATGTGGCGGTGTACTTCTCTCAGGAAGAGGGTCAGCAGCTGGGCCCGGACCAGCGGGCGCTGTACAGGGATGTGATGCTGGAGAACTACGGGCACGTGGCCTCGCTGGGTGCGGCTCTCCCTGGACTTTTTGGTGGGGGCGTTTAGAGAGCTCAGGGGCTGCCTCCAGACTTTGGAGCCCAAAGAGGAGGGTCCTACCACCTGCCCCCAAGTACCAATCTGGTCTATGCCTGGCTCCCACTTCAGGAATGCACTTCGAATGTCTGTGCCCACCTGTGTTTCCCCTGGGGCAGGAGAACTGATGAGTTATTCTCCTTCAGTGCTCACCCTCCACCCTTGCTCCCCCCCCACCCCTTCCACTCCCCACAACACAGACACTCTGTGACCCCCATTCCACTCCTACCTCCCGGAGAAGGGGTGTGGTGGGGGATGTCTCCTGGGAAACTGCACTTGGCACCTGACCTGGAACTCCTAGTGGGTAGTGCTCTGCTCCAGCTCTCCCCACCACATTAGCTCACCCAGGGCCTTTGCCTCAATAGGACTCCCTGTTCCTAAGCCGGAGCTGATCTCCCAGCTGGAGCAAGGTGAAGAGCTGTGGGTCCTGGATCTTATGGGAGCTGAGGAACTGGAGCCCTTGAGCAGCTGCAGCACAGGTGAGAGTGGGTTGGGGCTGGTTAGGTGATGGGGCTCACTTCCATGGGCTCCTGGGGGCGATCTTGGACAGCAGTGGATACTTCTGCAGACTTCTGTGTGTGCTTTGACAGCTCCGATTTTACTGATTCGTTTGTGCTTCTTCTGAAAATGCACTGTTCTTCTGATAATTAGGGGAGTTTGCATTTAGTAATTATTTCTATGGAAAAGTTGTACAACAGTCCCATTCCTTCTTTATATCATACTCTTTGTACCCTCTTTCACACAGTAGCTGTTGTTTATCTACCAGGTTCACCTGTTAAACAAACTTCTATCTTTTTTCTCTTGCATATCCTAGTCTTAGTAGTATTTCTAAGTGTTTACCTTGTTCTGTTGAACATGCTTTTATTAGTTGACTTGTCAACTCTAAGCATTATCTCTGACTCCCAGCTACTGAGACAACCAGTGATGCGTTCCAGTTTCCACCTTTCCTCATTTTCCTCCCATTTTTGGTCAAATGACAAAGTGCACAACATCACATCACTCTTATCCCCACCTTTGTTCTGATGCCCCAGATCTGTAATTAATTGTATTAATCGTTCACTCCCATTCTGTCTCCAAAATTTTCTCCTTCATCTCTTGGTTGGATGGAGTTAAACCTCTAGTAGCATAAAGTTGCTGAGGTGTTTTGTTGTTTTTTTTTTAGTTTTTTTCCAAGCATATGTTTATTGATTTTAGAGAGAGAGAGAGAGAGGGAGAAAGAGAAACATTGATTGGTTGCTTCCTGCACACACACCCCGACTGGGGAATCAAACTCACAACCTTTTGGTGTACAGGACGGTGCTCCAACCAACGGAGCCACCTGGCTAGGGCAAGTTGCTGAGTTTTAATAAACAGACAGAACTGTGTCAGCCAAATCTCTGTCAGGGCACAGAACATCACCATAACCCAGAAGGTTCCTGGGCTGTGCAGTACATGTTATTGAGGACGTGCATGCCTTTTTAAAGAGCTGAATACTTTTAAAGAACCATGGTTCTAATAGCCAGTGTTTTGTGGTTATTTTGACTAATATATTGATTGTACTATTCTAAACTTGTAATGCGATGACGCTGTTCTATATAGTGAGTGCCACATTTTGTACAGAATGCTCAGTGTGGCGTTCAGCTCTTCTGTCCAGTTGTCACATGGGTTTTCTCAGGTGAGCTCTGGCACCATGGACTCCCTGCAGTGCTCACGAGTAAAGTCCTTGTTTAGGAACCTGAAACCCTGTCTGGAGTGGTGGGAAAGCAGGCTGCACAGGAGACACAGTGTGGGGACCATGGCACTTCTCACAGGGGGCAGTCCCCTCAGAGTGGCTGGGGTTCCAGGCCTTTTAGTTGACTGAGGAGAGGTGGTTTTGTTCCTGTGGGGTTTTCCCATGTAGAGGGGCGGGGTACCCAAGTGGCACCTGGCAAGCACTGGATGGAGGAGAGGATGTTTCTCATGATTTGAGGTCTAAGGCACCTCCATTCCTCTGATCTTGCTGTTTGGGCTCCAGCATCCTGCCTTTCTTGTCATGCTGTGGTTGCCATGACTCCGTGGTTGCCACGACAATGCTGAGTTTGCAGTGACTGGCCTCAGTGTCCTTGGGAGGATCTGGGCTATGAGGCTGTGTCTCGAGTTGTCATTTTACATGTGCTCTCCTACCATGGCTGACCCCTGGGAGGCAGCAGAGTGTCACCCCTGCTGCTCTTCGTGGCCACAAGGTGATTGTCCTGATGTCTGGCAACCGAGTGTGCTGAGCTCCGCTTGTTGGTCTGTCTCTTTGTTTTCTGGGTTATGTTTTGGCACATTTTGTCAAATTAAGGCTGAGGACGGTGATCACCCACACGGTGGCAAGCAGTTCTGTCCTCATGGAGTTGAGAACATGTCACAGTGGAATGTTTTTGTTTTAGTGTAGAAGCTTTTTAAATTTCTTGTGGTTCTGCATTTTTATTTTTGCTCTTTTTCCTTCTTTTTTAAAAGATTTTATTTATTTATCTTTAGAGGGGAAGGGAAAGAGAGAGGGAGAGAAACATCAGTGTACGGTTGCCTCTCATGTGTCCCCCGCTGGGAACTGGCCTGCAATCCAGGCATATGCCCTGACTGGGAATCAAACCGCAATCGTGTGGTTCACAGGCCCACACTCGATCCACTGAGCTACACCAGCCAGGGCTCCTGTGTTTTTGAGGTCAAGTTCACGAAAACATCAGTGATACCAAGATTCAGAAGTTTAGTGCCTATGTTTTCTTTTATGTATTTCATTGTATTAGGTCTTACATTCAGGCTTTTTTAAATTTTAAGTTACTTTCTGTGTATGATGTAAGGTAAGGGTATGGTTTCATTCTTTTGCATGTGGCTTTCCAGCTTCCCAACACCATTAATAGAAGACACTTTCTCCATTGTATGTTTTTGGCTTTTTTGTTGAAAATTAGTTGCTCATATATGTGTGAGTTTATTTTGGGGCTTTCTATTCTGTTCCACTGGTCGTTCTGTCTGTTTTTTCCCAATACCATACTGTTTTGATTACTACAGTTTTGTACAGAGTGTGATACCTCTGGCTTTGTTTTTTTCCTCAAGATTGCTTTGGCTATTTTGTGGTTCCATATAAATTTTAGGGTTATTTTTTCTAGTTCTGCCATTGGGATTTTGATAGAGAATGCATCGAATCTCTAGATTGCTTTAGGTAATGTGAACATTTGAACTATGTAAGTCTTCTAATGCATGAATACAGAATATCTTTCCATTTTTTTGTGTCTTCAGTTTCTTTCAATAGTGTCTTACGGTTTTCGGGTACAGATCTCTCACCTTTTTTGTTAAGTTTATTCCTAGGTATTTTATTCTTTTTGCTGTGATTATAGATGGGATTGTTTCCTTTATTTCTTCTAACAGTTTATTGTCACTATGTAGAAATGCAGCTTCCTGTATATATAGATTTTGTACCCTGCAACTTGATTGTATTTGTTTATTAGTTCCAATAGTTTTTTTGGTGTA